AAACACAAAATCATATTTATTTTTTTTTTTTTAACCCCATTATAGTATAATATAATTGACTGATTTATTATAGTTAAGTTAAAACATATTATAATATCACAGCTAATCATATATAAATTACAAATATTATTATATTACACATTATGTATACACAGATATTTTTTTTTAAATTTTAAACCAGTGGAAAAAAAAAGACTGCAAACAAAAGATTATGGCGATAACGTCGTTTTGTCCTTGAATTTTTAATCGACTTTTAATCAATATTTTCGACGGCGGGAACGTAAATAATTTATCGGCGAACCGAAACAGGGAATATAACAATGTTATATTACATCCGCCACCCTCTGGGCAATTCGTAATTATTACAATATCGATCTATATCGTCTAAAAATAACGTAACCTCCCCTCAGTACATTTATATGTCTGCAACAAGTACGATAATTACGTCTTATTTCGAATAGAGATTACTGCATACATCTCTCCAAAAACCTGACAAGTTTTTTTTTTTTTCAACCAGACCATTGAAAATGGTTAAAATCGACAAAAACCAAACGAGATGTACGTGTGTTTGCATAACCAGAACCGCTAAAAGGGGTTTTCGTTAAATACGAAATATACGTAATAAAATTATGATAAATAGGTAGAACAAATATGTATAATACATGCATTAAAAACCTTTAAATAATATTGTATTATACACTTTATTAAATTTTAAATTTTTCCTACGGAAAAAGAACTTAAAATATGTATTTTTTTTCATTATTATATTATAATGTAATTCCAGTACAATTTTAGTGCTAACGTATTCAGCTGAAGCTTTTATTCTTCTGGGACTCTTGACATTGTTTTAAAATTCCTATTTGTTTTATTAATATATAGATGTATTACGATTACATTGAATTATTGAAATTGGTTACAGTACACTTTTCCTAGTCAAGTGTCAAAAACCCAACCTATATTTTTCCCAATTATAATAAAAAAACGTAAAATTTCCAATTAAATTTTCCCAAATAATTCCGTAAACGGTAATATTTTATGCGCCTATTTATTAAGTCTTCAAATTTAATATTTTCCCAAAAAATAACGATGAGAGTAAGATTGAATCACAAATCGTCTCTGATAAATACACATATAGTAAAGCACTTGTGTGTATATACAATATATAAAATATAATATATCCTCTCAATAGTACTTCAATTAGGTCTGAAATAGCCCAGAAGTACGCATATGTTATCATGTTTATGCCTAACTATATTTGTTTTGTTGTTTTTTCCGTACTAAGGTCAACCATACAGGAATTAATGGAACGGATCAAGTTATTGGACTTGGTATTTGATAAACGCACTATTGGGGTTAAAAAAAGAAGCAGCGTATACGAAAGTAAATAAAGTTGTTCTTTCGAAGGCACAGAAATTTGAAATAAATATCGTAAAACCACAAATGATGACGGGTTTTGAACAGTCAATAATAAACGTGACAAAGAAACTAATATTGAAGTTGAATTACATGCCTGCTTATTTCGTCTTTGTAAAAGTCTCTACGGTCGTAAACAGACAGAAGTATTAAAGAGCAGTATAATAAACCAGATAATCATAGCATAAAACTTACAGCTCAGATGACGGAGGCATTACTGCATTAGCATTTATTCCATTGGAAAAAGTAGAAGAAACATTTGATATTTTATCGGAACAAACACCTACCAGACGAATATAACATGCCAGAATATTTCTAGATAAATTTTTTTATACGTACATGTATATATTAATAAAATAAATTTGTATTACATATTCCTTCAAAAAAAAATCCTGTCTACGAACTTGACCTGGAACTTATAGGAAAAACGCATCGGAAAAATGAATCGAAAACGGTTATTGTAAAATGGCCGAAAAGGGAAAGGTTTCGTTTTGGCCAAAAACGATTCCGCCCAAATATTATAAATTATATTTAAATTTTAAAAATTCCAATAAAAATCGCAAAATCCCCAGTCATTTCCGCGTTTTTCAGACTTGTGACAGCCGTGAATTAGTATTTCGTTTGTTAAGCTATTATTGTCAGTCTTGAATAGACGACTCTATTAGGTATACACAGAGGTGTAGCGCGTGTAATGCGATAATACCTAATTTAATTGTATAATATAATTTCGGTGTCCATAGCGTGCGCATAGAAATCAATTGAATACAATGTGTTACAAGTCAAATAAAATTACGCCCGTATTATTATTGTGTGTAGGTATACACAAAAACCGCGATATTTGCACTTATATGCGAATGACACGCGCGGTTCTCGCATTAACGGATAGGTACCTGTAAATTATTAATATTTATATAGATTATAGGTGTGTGCGTATATAAAGACGGACGGGTATAAAAGTCAACAGGTGTTAACCCTTTCCACTGTCGTCGTCCCCCTCCCACGATTATACGGAAGTAAACAGGTGTTGTAAGTACACCGTATGTATTATTTTTGCCGTAATTCGTACAGATAAGATATTATAATATATGACCATGCGAGATAGGAAAATAAAAAAAAAATCCGATACTGCTGATGGCCGCTATTGCCGCTATTACAGACGGAAAGTCGGGAAAGTAGAACGCACAAAGTTATTGTTTGTAAGCAACAATAAACCATTGCAGACAATATACGTTTCTGAGCGAAGTTTGGTTAAGTATATATGATTTGAAGTGCCGTGATGTTTACGATTTTCATCAAAATTTGAACTTAAAAAAAAAACTATATTTCGTGACACTCAATTTTTTTTAATTATTTTACCATTAAGCCGATTTAGTACAACTTATAATGAACCTCGTGTTAAATTTTTAAACATTTCTGTTGAACCAAACAATTTTATTCACAAAAACTGAAAAAAAAATGCCTATAAATAGCTAAATAATGGTGTTAAAAATATTTTAAACATTTTTTGATATCTAGAAATTTAATTAAGATATTCTGTGACAATGTCGGGTCTCCGTGTATTTTTTTTAACGAACGCTAAATAAAATGTATATATTCCGGCTCTATGAAGGGTGAACCCGAATTGTTCGGGTCAATGTAATTATGTAAGTTAAATGGGAAAAACAACTCATGCAAAAGCCTTCGACATCCTGTATACATCGCAATTGGCTCGGTCCAACAACATGGCGAGTCCAAAACGACTTTTTGATAGCTTCGAACATATCGATACGCACGATTCGGTGCGACAATAATACGAGTCCGTCTATTCAAGACTTGGACCAAAAATAGCGATAAAGCTGCGTTTGCACGGTCCGCTTTCGATTTCGGATGGATTGTCCAAATCGAATCGTCCGAACGAAAACAAAACGAATAATACGTTTTCGCGTTAAGGGGATTGGAAGCGACTGTCTTTGTCCTACACACGCGAGATATAGGGATTTAGACGTTTTTTTAATTCCAACGTACCTATTGATCTAGTGAAGCGATAAGAATTCTAGAAACAGATTTTTCGTGAAGTCTACAAAAGATCGACTTTCCCAATTTTTTGATTTTTGATTTTAATTCCTCGAAAAATTAAAATATTCCAGTTTTTCAATTGCTCTTTTATTGGTATGGTTTTTTTTTTTTAGAATTTAAGGAAATAAATTTAAAATGTAGAAAATTCGATCTCTAGTAGACTTCACGACAAATTCAAATCTGTTTCCAGAATTCTCATCGCTTCACTAGATCAATAGTTACGTTGCAAATAAAACACGTCTAAATCCCTATATCTCACGTGTGTAAGACAAAGACAGAGACTCGTCGCTTCCAATCCCCTTAAATTAAAACCGATAAACATTCGACGATAACGAGGGTGGAATCGAATCGTTTTCAATTATTCAACGCGAGCGCGTCGGGGAACTTCGGTCACCGTTCAACGTGGGAACGATCACGTTTCGACGGTTTAACGTTTACGCGGTCCGGTTTTAATCCGCGTGTTTCTAAATCCGTCAGCATATTGATAAGAGTTTTGGAACACTTTTTTTGTTATTCAGTTGGAACATGTTGATTAATATACCACGATTAAAGGTTACACCCGTGGGTCACAATCACCGATATTTTATTCTCGTCTTTTTCCATTATTTCGGACATGAGAAATAACAACGTTCTCTTATTCCTTTGCGTTATAAACAGTCTCTCTTTTTCTTTTTTTTTTTTTATACAATACGGATAATTTAAATAAATAAAGTGTGTTGTTGGTCGAATATAGATTAGTGAATTAGTTTTAATTTTGGCGCGTAGAGTCGATTCGTCACGCCAATCCGATTAAACGCTCTGCCGTCCGCGAAAAATCGGATCGCTGGTAAAGCAATCCGATCGATCGTTTCCTGTCCGGCGGATCGATCAGCAGCTGAGTTCAGGAACGCGAAAAATCCAGCGGCTAACCAATCCGCCGAATTCGGAAACACGCGGACTGTCGTGCCGGGCCCTCCGATCGGCGTAGCGTTACAAATACGGACAGGCCGCGAGAGGCCTCCGTAAAACGATAACGACGGCGGGTCGACGTTGAGCCGCGCGACGACCGCAACGAGCGGAATTTGATAATGCGGCGCGGACGTGTATTGTGTAACGATACGCAGCAGACGGGGTGCCGGGGACGGCAACGGTGCGCTCGGGAAAGCCGTGGCGCAATAACGCGACGCGGCTCTGCCTCTACCGCGTTCGGGGGGTCGGCGCGACGACTTGCCGCCCCAGCGCGAACGCGCCACGACGATAATACGCGGCGCGGGTGACTATAGCGGAAGAGCCGATAGCCTGCGGGCGGGCACGGGGCGGGCGCGATCCGTATCGATTTCTTCGCGCGTACACGGGAACTACAGCTGACTGCAGGCACCGCCGCGAGATAACGCTCCGCGCCGTCCATTCATCAGCGGCGTCGCGTCCCGTCGTCGTCGTCGTGCCGTTTCGCTCGGTCCGCGTTTCCGCACGCGTCAACCCGAAGCCCGGAACGGCTGAAGCGGTGCCGCGTGTCGCGCAGTTCCGCCAGCGCTCGCGCCACGACGAACATTATGAAGACGAGGACAATCGATACGGCGACGACGGTCATTGTGCAGCGGACACCGCCGTCGAGACGGCCGGCACAGCCGGCGACGATGCTGTCCGCCGTCACCGCCGCGTTCAGACCGCTGCCGCTTATACTGCAGGCGTTGGTGCTGCTCGACGTCGGCGCCGTGTCCGCGTCCATATGCAAATCGAATTTGTGCACCCGCGAACAGTACTGCTGCGGCGACGGACAGTGCTGCGACAACGTGTACAGCCTCTGGTACTTGTGGTAAGTGCGAGCTCCTGTCCACGCGGCCGGTATAGGCTTCCCGCGGGGGGCCGGTCGGGCAGTAACTCCGATACGGTTCCGACTGCGACACTGAAATCGGCGTCTCTAAATCCCGAATACTTATACTCGTTTCGAAGTGTCTTGCCCGTCCCCGTCGCTTTTTAATAATACTATTAGGTCAGGTAGGGTAAGTGTGTAATAGGGGTAATTGTAAATAAGGCTGGTATACTGATAATATAAATAAATTATAACCGTTGTTAGCATTATTTAATATATTTTCACAAAAAGTTGGCCGAAAAAAAGTGAAAAATATTCATTTTCATTTGCCCCATACACAATACGACTTTATCGCTTGAGTTTGTTCATTTACATTTCCTCCAAAAATCAACAGTTAATTGCAAATGTCCGGGGTAAATGTAAATTGCAAATTGTTTAGGTTCGGACTTTGAAATCCGTCAAAATTGCATTGAAAATATATTTATTACATCCACTAACAGTGATAAAATTCATGTGTAAGTAAACAGTCAACAACAAAAATTAAAAAATGCATAGTTAAAACCGTTTACGGTTACCCCGCCTATTAGGGAATACATTACGTATAAGTATTCGGCGAATCGCATAAAAATCACCAATTACAACAATAAACGATATTTTGTTATAACGATATATTGTAGAATACAGCGAAATTTATAAACTGTTTAGTCTTCTTTCCGCGTCAAAAACAATAATATTATTGGATCGCAATCAATGACAGCAGTACAAAGAAGCCGCCACGGTGGCATTTGACGTATCCTCGTATGTGTCGTAAGCGTAAAAAATTTGTTCACGTAAAACGAAAAGGCTTTTAAAAAATCCAAATAGACAAAACGCGCGTCACGTGTTTTTTGTTTTTTTTTTTTTCTGTTTCTAATAACAATTGTTTTTAATTATTAATTCAAAACGACGGCCGTCTTCAATATGACGTCATCTACAAATTCGGCTGCGTGTTGTTTTTCTTTGTAACCGAATTCAAAACACTTGCCGTGCGATACGCGCGAACACGTCGACTATACCCCCCGTAACGAAAACTATCGTAACTCGCGGGTGTTTTTATTTTTCAATCCGTTTTCAACGGTCGACGAAAATAATTGACCGGAATTACTAATTAATTGATTTAAATATCACTTTCTGAAATTTAGAACAATACCGATATTATTAACGGTCCCCTTCTGTGCGCCGGGTTTTGAAAATATCACGGGGTTTCGCTGTTCTATAAACACGTGTACAGGTTTACCTAAATCTCATCAAATATTATTTATTTATAATTTCCTTAAATTGTTCGTTAAACAATAATTACTGAAATATGGTTATTTGTTGTTTTAAATGTATAAGATTTCAATAGTATTTGTCATCGTTTTACAATTTACACTCTTTCTCTGCTATTAATATCAAATAAAAAAAATCATCTTTCTCAATTAATTTTTTATAAATAAAATTAGTATTTTGAGAATGTACATTACAAATATTGATTTTTTTTTTTCTTATAATATGAGAACCGTGGGAGGAGGCTAAACTCCGCCTTATCAAGCTCATGGGAGGCTGCGGCCCCAGAACCTTCCTGTACACGGCACCTCTGTTAGTTTCTTATCGCATGACGCAGCATTGAAGGATCGCGGTTATGCTGAAATTCGATAAATTAGATGGTCCCTCCACCTTGATAAAAATTAACTAAAGTAGTGCAGATATTATTAGAAAATCGCGAATTGATTTTTAAAATTTGTAAATCAAGTGCAAAGTTGCAAATTAATAATTAGATTTGGGGGGCTACCTTCATGGAGCCCATTCCCCTTTTCTTTAATCGATCCACTATTAATGCACTGTTTTATTTTTTGAGGGGGGGATGTCCTCTTTTCAGTCTGTTCCCGTATAGGCCCTATAGGCATGGACCTGCAGGGTTGTGACAGTTTTCGTTACCTGAGTCAACACGTCTGCTATACGTATGAATAATTGTCTGTAAAAAAAAACCGGAGACGACAAAAATACGAGACTGTGGTGGACTACGGTTTATAAAACGAAAAATAAGAAATGTTCGTGAAATTCGAGTCGAACGACAGATTCATATTATAACTATTGCATTACGGATAAAAGATGAACTTCGTTTTGTCAGAGATAGATGAAAACTCGTTACCAGTAAAGCGCAATGAACTCGGAAATCGAAAATTATGCATCTTCTTAAGAGGACGTTACACATGCCTTTTTTTTGTTTCTGCCTTACAAACACAAATAACATGCTTACGTAAACTAGACACAAAACTTGCGTAATTTTGGTTTTAGAGTAAAAGCATCTATTATAAAATCAATAGAGAACAATATTCCGGAGGGACGCAAGACGTTGCGTGTTTTCGAAAAAGTTTTAGCGAATTAAAAAATCGTTGAAAAAGTCGTTATTTATGCGCGTCTAATTGGCGTATTCGGAGAACATGGTGGAACAAGTGCAACGGTTTTGCCCTCCGGAATATCGTTCACTTTTGACTTTAAAAAAGGCGTGTTTTTACTCTAAAACCAAAATTAAACAGAGTCCTGTGTAATCTGCGTGAGCATGTTTCAACAATATATATCGCGCGTTTGCGAGACGGAACGACAGAATGCATAATGTGTACCACCGATTTTTACCGGATTTTTTTTTTTTTATTTATTATTTTACGGTTTTTGTTTGCGTAATCGAATATCTACAATAAGTCATGCCGCGAGTACCCATTTCACTTTCCGGCGGTTTAAAACCGATCGTGAATGTTATTACCCCCCGTTATGAACGCCGTTTAAAACAAGGCTCGTTAACCGTAGGTAAATGTCAACAACACAATATTTCGTCATTATAACGATGGTAATATTTTTATTGTTAACGGTTCGTGTAATATCGTAGCGGAGGTGTAGCCGTCATGCTGTTCGTCGTCGGATCGTTTTGCCCGGTGATCAGACAGTGCTGCTGTCCCCGTACCACGGTGATGGTCAAGTACGTCCCGGTGCCCACGTCCCCGACGAAATTTGTAAGTGCATATTATTTATTATATTATACAAGTCTTTTATATGTATTATCGTTGTAATTCAAAGGCACGAAAAGCCCCGATAAGTCACGTAAAACGTATTACAAGCGACGCGTAACGTGATTAAGATACGCGCGAGGGACGCGGATACGTGACATAATAATATTACAACGTTAGCGGAAAAAAAAAAAATTGAAAAAAAAACCGAATTGCTTGCAAATCTAAAAAAACGTTTAAAACGACAGCGCGCGGTGTCGTCGTTACAGGGACGTCTCCAGACCTTGACTATGGAGAGGGGGAGGGGCGAAATAATTAAATTTAATATTAATGATTGATAAGAAAAAAAGATTGACATACTTCGCGCGATGGGTGGACCACTGTTGTAGATAAGAAGTTATGAAAGATAGGATATAGAGGGAAAGTTAACGTATATCTTTAAGCGAAAATTAATCATTGCTCACGAAAAACGATTCTGAGCCGAGCGCGGTCAATAGTATTGCTTTTTTAAAAATTTGTATAGACCTGCAGCAATTAGATTTGTTCCACATAATTTTTTACTAAAACAAATTTCGTCAAAATTTGATATTGAAATTCTTTTAAAAAAAATATACTACATTAAATTTAATTTGTTTTATTTTAACCACAAAGTGCGACTTATAATTAACTTCCTATTCATTTTTCAAGTATTTCTGTTTTGTATAACAATATTATCCACAAATTACCTACCAAATAAAAATTACTCACAAAATTAAAGTATATACAAAAAGTTTAAGTATGGCTCAAATGTGTTTACAGTTTTACCACGTAAAACAGGCAAATAAGTTTTTTGCCTAAATTTCAAATCTCTACGTATATTTTTAACTGAATTACAAAAAATAACACTATATTGAAAATAATAAAAACCATGATTTTCGTAAATTTCCCGTTTTTCCAATGTAAGTCTACTTCTTTCGGGGGTAGGGGCGATCACCCCATCACAACTCTTCCACAGGGACGAGCCTGTCGTCGTATGCTTTTTACCGGGCGATTTAAATTTGTTATTTTTTCCCATCCCACCCGTAGGATCTTAACTTTTTCCCCGAATCGCAAACCTCCTCTTTTCAATATATATATATATAGCCACGGACCCACCCCTCATAAAAAAACAGCAATTTTTTTATTCCGACGACAATATTAAGACTCGTAGAGTAATCAATCGTTATAGTTTTCGAATTTTGGTTTGAATTTCGGTGTGACGTCTATACACATACTATCGTTTTGGTTACACGTTAATATGACCAGACGCATACATCATTTTCGACGTCCAATCGTCATTTCGTTGCGATTGCAGATCATTTTCCTGGCACCCCTACTTTCGAAATTTGGAATCCAAACCGCCATTGTAAATCAACTGTACGTCGAGAACGGGGATAGAACAAACGAAGAAGGTTTCGGAACAAACAAGAGCAAACGAAGAACAATCGAAAGGCCCCGTTTCGGTTCCGAAATTCAAAAATGGGGGTGCCAGGGAAATGGACTTTGCGATTGCGACTGATGACGGAAATCCAAACTTATAATTTGTTCGGTTTACTCTCGAAAAACTCGCAGGCCTTCCACGGACCGCCGTGTAACCACAACTGCAGACCTCCTATACGGGTCGAATCCCCGGGCTGATGGTTATCCGATTATATAACGATAAAAATAATTCTAAGCGAAATTTGATTGATAGTGTTCTTTTGTCAACATTATGTATATCATATTTTGGTAAAATAATTTTACATGCATCCAACATTTTCTTTTATAATTTTTGTTTAATATCATTTCTTCTGTTTTCCCCCATCTATTGGGAAAACTCCTTAGAAAAACAAAAAATGACCTCCCTAAAGTACATCTCTAGTCAGATTTCCTTTTAGAAAATGTTCAATTATTGAAAATCGGAGCAAAATTTCTGGAAGAAAAGCGTTATCCACAGAAAAATATTAAACATCATTGTAAAACCATAAGCTACTTCGCTTCACTGAAAATCTAAAAAAAAGTCTGATAAATTTCACGAATCACGCAATCAAATTAACCCGCACATCCATAACATACACGAAACGCAATATTTATCGTTACATATACAGTATGGCCAGAATTCGGCCATTACGCCGCGGTGGGTAGCGGGAAGGGTCTCTGGGGGCTTAAGTCCCTCTCCAAGTGCACCGTGTTCTTCCTATAGATTTATCTGCGACATGATATTTTAAACACATTAATAATAATAATAAGAACAACGACAGTAGGTTAAATTGTGCTCGGAATATATATTGCCTATATAATTATTTTACCATTATATTATTATATACATACATCTTGTTGACAAATTAACACTAACAATCGCATTGTTTTTTCGTTAGCAGTGATTTATAGTTGCTATACACTAAATTTGCCCTCTATTACCTTTCTAACTCCTCACCTATAACAGTGGCTTCACCAGTTCCCATTCTCCTAGGACAGCTTTTTCAACATACATTTTAATTTTAGGGCTCCTTCTGTACATTCTCGACCCCTTTCTATGTCCCTTTTCACCGCACCAATGACGGTCGAAACCGACCTATTTACCGAATGGATGCCCTTAGCGAATACGCTTCCACTTAATTATTAAATTCTGCTGTCGCGTCTATTCTATCTGTTTTTATCTTTGTAAATAAGTTATAAGTTAATTGATATTCCATATCCGTATTTTAGCCTCTTACCGCTCGCCTGTAACAAACGTTAAAATAAAATAAAATATAACCGAACCGCGCTTAACGACCGAATTACTACATTTTTCTCTCTCGAAACTCCGCAATAATATCCATCACGCGTAGGTACTCGATTTTATAATATAAAAATGTATGGACATCATGACCTCGGATTCTTAAATTATATTTTACTTTAATAAACACATAGTATCGTATTCCGCGAAAATTTTTTTATGCAGTGTATTCCTTGTCCGCGTGGACTAGGAGGACGCCCAATGTTTAAGGGGTCGCGTATAGGCAATTTTAACGGGAGTGTCTATAAAACGGAATTGTTTCCTTTATTTAATATTGTATACGCATACATTTTTACGTTTTATTATTCATTTATTTTTTTTTTTTATTAATGAGTTATGATTCGTACATATCGAAAGTAGAGAATCATGCGCGAAGCATGAAATTTAAAAAGCTGTCGTGGGATAATTTGAACGGGTGCAGCCACTGTTGTGGGCAATTTAATGTATATCTGTAAGCAACGATTAACCATTGATAGTGTTGTTTTTTCAACAATGTATGCATACATGTCATATTGCGATAAAATAATTACATATACATTGTATATTTTCTTTAATAATATCTGTTTAATATCGTATCTATTTTTCTATTTATCGGAAAAACTCCGGAGGAAATCAAAAACATGTACCTCCCCAGTCAGATTTCCTTTAAGAAAAAGTGCTATAATTGTGTTTATTGTGCTATTTTGTTTACGGTTATTCCCAATCATTTTTAAAACACCTTGGAAAATCGAAAAATGACCACTTAATGCTTTAACTTGATAAAATTTAATTTCAGAATAGACGCTACACCTCTATACACGGGAACAAAATTTCTTTTCGATAAATTGAAAAACCGACAAAAAAACAATAATAGTACACATAGTAAAACCAAAAAACCGTATAGGTGGTAAAGGTTCTTCGCAAATTTTAGATATCGACCAATTTTTACGTGTATTTTTTAAAATTTAAACTTCCCCGCGTCGTTGGCTCGCGGGACCTCGGCACGCGATACGGGCCCCGGAACCCCCGTCCCACTCCCCGCGGCGTACCGTTGCGGAATTATAAAAAATGCACGTAACGTTATGTACGTCGATATACTAACGAAAGTGGGTGTTTTTTTTTGTTTTGTTTTTTGTTCCTGTTCGGTTTGCCGTTCGATCGACCGCGTTCGCGTCCTCAAGAAATACTCGGACCGCGGCGACAGCGGCGGCAAACTGCAGTGCACCAGAGTGGACGTGACGTTACCGATGCCGCCCCCGGCCACCACGACGGACGTGACGAACTGCATATAACACACCGGCCGTGGTCGCCGCACCGCTACCGCCAACTGTATTATTCGATATTATTACTATTATTATTATTACTGTATTATGTTAACCGCGTAACAACAATTATCGCGAACAATCGTAATAATTTTTATTATTATTATTATTATTATTATTATTATTATTATTGTTATGGTCCCGCGTGGTCCGCGGCCACTGCCGGTAGCAGCAGCAGCAGCATCGAACTCGGGGTTGTTGCCCCGACGAATCCGAATCGACGGCGGTGACGACATTATGGTAATAACACTGTTCGGTACAAAGCGATGTTAACATTAGAAGATAAGACACTAGACCGGGATCGGACAGTGACCGCTGTCTATAATAGGCGTACATAACAGTCGTCCAGACAGACAGGCCCCCTGTCTGTCCCCTCGAACAGGCTGCGAACGCGGCTGGGCCGGGGCAAAAGCCGACCGGGTTCGACCCGCCTCTGAACGCCTGTAGTTGTACAAAACGTACGGTAATTATTGTTTAGACATTTTAGCGTCCAGCGAGTCCGCGGCACGGACCGAAAAACTAGCGAATCCGACTAACAATACGATCAAATTATATATTATCGTATTAGGCGCCCGTCCGCGTATTCGAAAAAAAAAAACCGCACGTCACTTAGTTTATACACACTGTGTTACAGCTGCAGACAGGCAACGATACGAAACCGTAGGAGTGCGCGGACTTAGTTCGCAGGGTTAGGGGTGGAGGGCTCCGCGTAAAAAACGTCCGAACCAGCAATGTTTCTCGTTGTGACTACACACAGTTTGTACGATTATTAAATATCTGCCTTCAATTTGCGATTTCACGGGGGATTTGTATGAAATATTAAAAAATACTACTCTGCTGATACAAAACGAAAATATCAAATAGACGTTAAAAAATAAATCATTAGTCGTAATTATAATGATAATACCGATAAGACAAATTATTAAAATTCAAATAATTTACACTTAAATAGACGGACATACTTCGCACGATGGGGAGGACACTTTTGTACGGGTGAGAAGTTGGGAAGGTAGGATATAGAGGGGAATTTAATGTATATCTGCACGCAACGATTAATCTTTGCTAATAAAAAACGATTCTGAGCGGAGTTTAGTTGAATACATGTTTTGAAATGCCGTAATATTTACGATTTTCGTCAAAATTTAATGCAACATTTTTACATTACACTCATTTTTTTTTTTACCACAAAATAAAACTTATAATGGACCTCTTGTTAAATTTTCAAGCATTTTTTTTTTTTTTGGTCTAACAACTTTACCTACACAGTAAATACCATATAAAAATTACGTAAAAATTTGCAAAATTAAAATGTCTATAAATAGCTCAAAATGGCTAAAATATTAATATTATGAAAATGTTACCATGACTAGAAAAATCAAATATAGGTTTTCCGTCCTAGTTTCTGCGAATATTTTTAACTGAATCACAATAAAAAAAAATTAAAATAATACATTTCGTAAATGTTCCCAGTTATTCCTAAGTTTTTTTCGGTTTATTATGAAAACCCCTGGAAAATCAAAAAAATGACCAGCCTAAAGAACCACCCCAATCAAATTTCCTTACAGAAAAGGTGCTATACTAGAAAATCTGAGCAAAATTTCTGGTAAAAAAAGTCGTGAACAGAAAAATAAAATAAATTAACATCGTTTTAAAACCAAAACATTCCTCGCTCCGCTCAAAATCTAAAAATGTTTATTTACAACTCCATAATTCTACTCACAGGAACAAAGGTTTTGAATATCTATATAATTAACAACTTCATCGATGTAAACCTTATAGTCAATTTCTTGCTCGAGTTGCTCGTAGGCTCCTTCAAACGATCTTGTGTCTTGGTGCTGCGCGATTTGGTTTTTACCAATCGATTATAACAAACCCCTGCCCCTCCCACCTCCCTCAATGCGCACACTTATGAATGAAAGGACAATTGTATTTATATAGATTATAATTGTATTACAAAATTAACACTTTTTTTTTTTTTTTTCATCAAAAAGATTATAAAGTAATACTTAAGTATTTGGATGCTATACGCGGATTTGGCATACGGCATCGTTGTTTCATCCCGTATTCGTTTGCGATACAATTTGTACACTCGATTACAGTATTATTATCCGAAAAACTTCAGTCGAAATTTAAGAAATATTTTTATTTTTTCTCAAAACCGAGACGTTCCGGCGTTTATTTTCGGGTAGGTACACCGGTATAGCGGGTCGAAAGCTGGCGACGGTCCTGGTTTTCCGGGACGTATATGGCAACCCTATAAGAGTGTATAGACTGTATGCGTCGATATTATACCGAAACTGCGTTATTGTAGGTATTACACGGACGAGATAGTACGAATCGTAGAAGTATTTTAGACAAGTGCCGTGGATAAGGAAAAGTATAAACAAAAAAAATGCACGTCTCGAATCGCATTGTTTTCACGCGGGCCACAAGTTTAGCCCGTACAGAAAATAATAATAAATAATAATATTACGAATCGCTGTACCACTTATAATTATTTCCGTCCATACGCGTACCTATATCTATATTAATTATTATATTGCGATTCAAAAACACATCCGCATTATACGAACCCCCGAATAAAAATCACTAAAACTTCGGTTTCCGGGGGGGACTTTCGTTCCGAACAGAATATCAATATTGCACGGGTTCCGCCCGAGAAATACAATAAAAACATTTAAACAACGTTCGGTACGTACGTACCTACCTACCTACCTACCTACCTACCTACCTACCTACCTGGGTATATGCTAGCCAGAAGGACGGGACAGAATGGAGAAATATCGATTATTAAAATAATATATGCTAAACAACGCGAATGGGTCGCATACATAATAATAATAATATCGTAGGTAACGATAATAGTAGGTATAAAGTGTAAGACGTTAAAACGATAATAATATAGGTACGTAATTTCATACGATTTTTCAAATGCTTTCAGAGTAGCGTTATACCTATTAATAATATTGTGTGAACAAAAACAAATATATCAAAACCACTTACCGCATAACAAGACCTTCGCAGCAATTCACGCAGAAATACCTAATAATATAATATCTAGGTACCTATTATTTCTCATGGACTGGTAACTGTTTTCGATGTTACTTAAATCGCCTGGTAGTTTCAAAATTTGGTTCCCGTCGAAAAATTACAGTAGGTGTGTTCACTTTACCGAGTATTTTTCAGTGATTTCCATTTCTCGAACAAAACTAGGTGTATTATAATAACAGTTTCGCATTAGTACATTAATACATACGAATTAGCCTTTTTTTTGTAATAGTACGTAATTTAATTTTAAGACTATTTTATAAGTAGATGACCTACTACTGAACTATTTATTTAGTAATTTAAGCGTAATTCAAGGGATAGATGAGAAAATAATAGAAAATCTCTCCCACGTTAATTTAATGGTACCTAATTAAGTGCCATGATTATAATTCTCAAATTCTTTGTGTCAAAATTTCAATGTTTTTATTCAATCACTCGCTTTCAATAACGAAAGATGGATATTTGAATTCAACATGTGATTAAGATTAATTATTAATTGTTAGTTATTAAACTTGTTTAAAAAAAAAAATCATTTATAAGTTATATTAAATAACTAAATAAATGTAAGAAAAGTATCAGTATTAAAATATTATACGGCTGAATAAATTTGTGAATGATATATTTTTTAAATGTAATTGTAAGACTTAACTAATGGTTTATATTAATCATATTATAATAACTGTTACCTATGTATACTAGTTTAAGAAGGCAAGTAAACATTTTATTTTCCAAAAAATGAAATATTGTTAACTATTATGTATCCTGTTTAAACCAGTGTTTAATAAAAAAAAATTATTATTACTTACACAAATGTGTAGATCTTTATTTGAATGTTTTCTTTTAACATTTTTTTGTGTATAAAATATCATATTTTCTGTCTGAATTCATAATTGAAAACAATTTAATTTAATAATTTTAAATTGTATTGCTTTACTTAATTGTAGTGAATTGTATCTTTAAAGCATATCAACAAAATAAATTAAACAATTCATTATTAATCAAATACAGTAGGAAATTAAAAGACTAGACTTAACAAAGAGATTAAGTATAATATTTAACAATAGATTGAGGAACACAAATTATATCATTGATTAAGCTCATTAGCCAAGACATATTCTTGAAGTCTCTGACTCTTATCCTGATCTTCCTGTAATAACTTATTAAGATTTGTTTGTAGTTGATGTTGGGCCAATAACAATTTTTGAACTTGATCTTTAAGTTCTGCGACCACTTGCTGTTTTTCACTTATTTCATTCCTTCAATCAGCAACCAATAAAACAAATTGTATAATTGTTTTCAATGTATTTTTTTTTTTTTATGAAATATTGCAAGTAGCTATCTGCTTTTTATGAACAACATATATTTGATCCATTTGTCGTATTCCTGAGCAACTCGTATACTAATTGTTTTTTATTTTTTTTTGGCTTTTTCTTTTGATGAGGATACAATATGAACTTGCTCTAAAATTATACATTTTAATTTAATAAAACTAAAACTGTATATAATCACTGATTAAATATACCAGCCGCTTTCATTTTAGCGAATTCTTCACATAGAGTATCAATATATATTTCTGAAGTTCGTTTTTTATTTTCAGCTTCTCTTAATGATTCTTGCATAGACTTTAAACGTGCATTATTCTATGATATTTTTAATAGACTTTCTGCTGACTCTTTCTCATAATCATTAACCTAAATTTGAAAAAATTTAATTATTAACTAGAATACATATCATTTTGGCACTGTTTAAAGATATTGCATTGATGAACTGAATTTTTCATTTTATTAATATATAAATTTGCATTAGTAACGTTTTCATATAATTGTATATTTCCATTACTGTAAGTTAGAAGCATAAGTATAAATATATATTATAATATATGCATGTATAATTACATTGTTATAATATAGATTATAGATTTTAAAATTAATTAAATTAAGTTCAGTTTCACTATTAATAGCAACACCAATTTCAGCCATATAGTTAAGTAGAGTAGATAACATATCTGTAGTATCTGTAGTTTTTTTAACTTTTGTAGTTCAGAAATTATAGAATTTAATGAAGACAATTTATTTTCTTAAATAAATTGTAATTAATACTCTTTGATAAGCATATTTTTAATTATGAAAGATAAAAATATTATGTTATTCTACTTCTTTTAAAGATAATTCTTTAACAAGGATTTTATTTGCTTTATTTTTCACATCAACTTCTTGACTTTTTGGTTATAATTTACTGCAAGTTCTTCTGGAAGTTTTCTTTCTTCCAAGATTTGATGATAAATTTTAAAATTTTCTATATTCTAACTTTACTGGTTAGCATTTAACTGTTGGGATAATACAGTTTACATAGATTCTGTTATAACCCCTTCAGAAAAAGCAGGAACTGGCCCAACTAATTCTATACATAATATATATCTATAATATACATGTACATATATATTTACATACAGATACATAATATTAAATTCATAAAAACATAGGAAAATTATAATGATTAAAAAGCAAAAAAATCTTGAAATATTACCATTTTTAATATCAATCTGAACATTTGATGTAGATACTTCCATAAATTCTTGTAAATTAATTTGTTCATTTTCTTGAACAGTCTCACCATACGTTCAACTAAATTATTTTAGTAAAAAAAAAAAAAATGTCAAAACTCATTTATAAATAATTTGTATCACTAACTTACCGATTAAGTTCAGCTTGTAGTTAACGACATTTGAAAATTTCTTTTTCATAATAACTTTTCCATTCTTCTGTTGTTAATTCTTCATTTACCGTGATTATATTTTTAATTGTTTTGTCTCTTAAAAAAAATTAAAGAAATTAAAGTTTATTATTAATAGATATATTGTGATACTCACCTTTTGTCAAAATCTAAATTTAATTTAGATTCATTAAATGATGCCGGAGAACAATAAATATAATCAAAGTTCTGGCATTTCCTCCTAGATATTCTTTTAGTAAATGTGTTAGTTTTGAGTTTCTATATGCTATATATGGTTTTTTCTTCCAACCACGACAAAATTGCATTTCCCAATTGTGGTATGGATGTGTTAACCCATTTTACTTTGTCTAAGTAACTTTACCTTCAGCACCAGACTTTGTAACCTAACAATAGTTATGATCTTATAGAAAAAAAATAATATACCTAAGATATATACTTTATACACCTACTACTTAATAATTAATAATTTACTTTACAAATATTATTATACAATACTATAAAATCATTAATGGTATTTTTCGGTTACTACCTGAATAAGTAGGTACCTGTACCCAAACCAAGGTTTTTAAATTTTTATTAAAAGTAAAATGAAATGTCAAAACTATTTTGGCTTCCTGTTACCTACTCATGATTTTGCAAACCAATCAGTGTTTATTTTCGATTAAAAGTCTGATATGAGCTCACACTTGTAGCAAACTGTACTTTTAATGTACACACATCCATCAGCCAAAAATATTGTTACCTGAGTGCGAGCTATCAGATTTTAAGTGAAAAAGAAAAAAACAATTTACTGATAGATTTGTAAGCAAAACTATATCAGATAGTTACCAGGGGATAAAAATAGTCACCTGTTGTAGTAGAGATATCTGAATTGTGATACCTTTCGGTAGTCCACCCTATACAAGTAACCAATATAACCAAAAAATACCTTATTTTCATATTATATAGGTTCATAATTATTATTGGTATCTAGCTATATTTATTATATTTTTTTAAAACTCACCGGTAAATACAATAATTATTACCTATGTTGATAATCTTGTTGATCAGTATTGAAGAAAGAATGACAATAATGTATTGGCATCAATAATTTAAATTGAAAATAAAATATACCTTAAGTATATGAAACAATGGTAATAACAATATATACCTAGGTAATATGAATTCAGTTTATCAAACAGACACAAAAGTATGTAAGTAAATTGTCTGGTTTCGACACAATGCATCTGTCTTGGTGAGGGAGGATAACACGCTGTTATCCAGTAATCACCAACTTGGGGATTTGTCCCTCTTCACAAGTTACTAACAAGTTATTAACATCATAGATACTTACACGGTACATTGCCGTAGGTTATGTAAATATGAACTTTTCCGTTTTGTTGTCATGCTTGGATAGGTACTGATGATAACCGGTGCGCAACTTATCTCATTCAAATATCGGGTTTAAATGTATAACTTACATAACCGATAAACATAATATACTTATAGTAGTTATCGAGGAAACATTAATTATTGTAATTTTTTTTTTTTCACAAGTGTAACGGACTGAAGCTCGCGAAATTAAAACAAATTTATATTTAATCTCTTGGTCGTGGCGATCAGCTGTGCAATTGTGTACAATGGTCTACTGTAAGATTTACCACAAAGAATCGAACGAACCGCGCCGGGGTGTTTATTTCACTTATCAGAAAAAAAAAAATTGCGTAGGTCGTGTTACATGTAAGTACAGAACTTTTTATTATTAAATCTACACGTCTATAAGCCATTTAATATACAAAAGTGCAGTTATATTATTATTTATATTTTGTCGATTGCGTGAACGTCATAACTAATGAGTAATAGCTTTTTTTCACTTGTCAACAAATTTCTTCGCGTACCGCTGGTTGAGAATCGCTGGTACCCCCACCGCATGATAATAATATGTGAAAATGGGTTTTTTTTTTTCTACGCGCACCTACACTATGGTTAAAGTATAATTATTTTCGACCGGCATTTGTGTGCGTATTAAAGTCACCGCGATATTTCGTTGCTTTGCTGCTTTTTTTCGCGCGTTTAGTTTTCCGTTATGATAAAAATACCTACCGCGCACCACGAAAGCGCCTGTGACTAGGTGTCTGCAACATAATCGCGGCCGTGACAAGATTACGAATACTAACGGCCATAAAATTAATGGCACGTGTGTTTATTGTTTGTTTGTGAAATAAAAATTTGTCGAATCCGTCGGATTTATTGTTAATTAAAGTTTTCCCGTGCACCCCTACGCCCGTGTTTCGAACGTTTTATTTAATAGCTTATTTTTTTTTTTATTTTTATTTTTCGCCGTTATTTATTTAACCGTTGCGCGCCTGATGTGGAAATTGAGGAGGCGTCGTGTAATTGTACTCGACTCGTGCAATGACCACTCTAAATACAATAACAATAGTAGAAAGGTGGTCGACACAATTTAAACCGGCATTCTTCATATCACAATATACAAATCAAAAAAAAAAAAAAAAAAAAAAAACCCGTCACTATAATATTGTAACCACTTAACATTTTTTAACAATGTTTTCGTTGTAATGATCATATTTTTATGTATAACATTACACTTCGATTGACGTTCGATAATCTGTGCGTCCGACGCCCTATATAGAAACGTGTAGACTCTGGTACCTGCCCACGTTTAATGTTTATGACTTTATGTCCCTATTTACTAATAAACAAATCTACTAGAGTTCATTTTAACATTAAGTATATTTATATATTATTATTATTTTATTCGACAATTTGTCTTCGATCGACACGGTGTACCCAAAATAAACAGGTAAAAATAATCTAAAACCAGTTACCTAGATAATTGATAGTCGTATTTGTTTTTACCACGGACATAAAATTATACGGTTTTTAGTTTTTACACCGTAGACTGACTATTGACTTTATTTTGATCAGAAATAAAACACTAGTCAAATTTGAATGACTGATAAAATACTTAGAAAAAATACTAAAGAAAACATGATTATGTTATTATATTTTATAATTATTATACCAGTAACTTAAGAAATTAATACATTTTGTTAATCAGAAAATGATTGGTTTTTTTTTTTTTTATTGTATTGAAGAATATTCACAACCTATACATTTGCAAATACCTAAGTTTTATTAAAAAATTACCAATAATTAAAAATATATATTATGATTACGGCCAGTTGATAACTTTTCTAATAATAGTATTAATATTAATTAGTTGTTAATTACAACAAACTAAAATTAGAAGAAGAAAATTTTGCTTAAAATGTACCTATAAGATGATAGTTGATTTGAATGTAAAATGAGTTTTCCAATAATATTTGAAAGGTTATTATGTTTACATCTTTCTCTTAAATGTACTTATTAACTATACAGGTGAAAGATCTTTATCCCGATAAATATTATTTGGGAACATTTGAGATCATATTCACCATCACAAAGTGTTTGAAATTTATTTGAACATCCAGAGTGAATTTGCAAAATCTCTAGATTTCAAAGTTATTATCAGAGTTTTTTAAAATAAAATATTAGAAAATAATCATTATGAATGAAAAGAATACAAAAATTGACATTTGCAACGATGACAGTGATTAATTATATAATAAATATAAATTTACCTATAATTTTTAATTTAACATGATTAAGGTAGGTATTAAATATTTTTTACTATTTTTTATTTGCTCATTATGGACTAAGGTTAATTAGGCCTATCTGATTTATTTACTTACAGCTGGAAAATCTAGGCTTAGAATCTGAAAAGTTTAAAGCAACTTCCAGAATTCCATTTGCTTATGTGAAAAGTCACTAATTTCCATAGTACAAAACTTTAAGAACCCTATTAAATAAAGCTATATGTCTGTATGTACCACTTAAATAAATTTACTATTCAATAGTTTAAAAATCTATAAAGATAATAATATCAATTGACTGCACTTAACCATTAACCGTTACATATATAATGTATTTAACTTTTTGACCTTGATATTGTAATTGTTATAAAAATCAATAACCAATAAATAAGAAAATAAATATAAATGTTAAATACAAATTGTATGATTATGAATAGTATGTATTTTAATATGCTAATACAAAATAATTCTAAAAATACCATATTTCGCATAAAACTTATTTAAAAAACAAGTAGTTAGCCTCATATTATATAAAACTAAAAAATAAAGAAGAGATTCTTTAAATTATACTATTTAATTATATAAAAGAAAATTATAATGATAAACTCTAAAAAATGTACAGAACATCAAAAAATTAAATATTTAAAAAAAAATGTATTTTCTGCAAAAAAAAACAGAATTATTAATCTTTATTTGAACACAGCATAAAGTATCACAATTTAGTCCAAAGTAATATTTGTAAAATTGATTTATTATAGAATCAATAAATATTTAAGTTTTAATGTACTTGTATAATTGTTTAAAGTATTTGAATACTATAAAGTTACTCACTAACGTGTATTGGTATGTAATAAATTAATACAAAATACAGTGTCAATGTCTACAAAATTAACGGAGAAATCATTATTATAATTATATAAGGTTCACAAAAAGTATAAAATCTTATTTTATTTTTATCATTTTTAGATTTTATATGTACATTACAAATTATATAGCGCATAATAAAAAATGGCACAAACAAACATTTAAGATATATATTCCAAATTTGTGAAAAAAATGTTTTATAACAATAAATAAATTGGATACTAAATAATTATTTTTGAACATTATTGTGATATAACTGAAAAATAACTTTTATAAAGTTAATAGTAGGTAATAACCAAAATATTAGTGAATTTGAATAGTATAATTTATGTTACAGTATAAATGGAACCAAGTCCACAGATACGATTAGATTTGTATAAATACTATTATGACATATTCAAAAACATTGTTGTTTATAACAATAATAATAATGAATAAAATAGTAAAAAAATTTAGTTATTTATGTATAACTATGAAATAAAAATATAATGAGACACAGAGCGGTTTAATTGCCTGCCTACATTATTGAACATTCACAACATTGCATAGCAAAGTATAAGCACTCCATGCCACAACTAGTTATATTGGCTTCATCATCGACGGGATGTTCTTTGTCAACACCGTTGACAAGTTTACCACCAGCACCTGTTATTTTGCCATTACCATTGCTCATGATGTGTCCATCGGTATCATCTTTGGTGATCATTGGCTGATGGAACTCTGCGCGTTCAATTACAGAATCCTCACTATCTTGCTTTGCAGAATCGGCACTGTTGAGACTGTCCACAGATGAATCATCGCCGCCTTTGGTCAACAGTTTTTTTTCAGAAACGCTAATATTGGCGTTCCGGTACTAAAAAAAAAAAAATATTAAGTTAGACAATTAAAGGAAATAATAATGGATCCACAAACAGTAGCAACCAATCAATGTACCAATTGAAGGGATTTGTTATTTAAGAGTTGTGGTTGTTATAAAAAAAAAAAAAAAAAACACACGGTAGGTAGATACAAAAATATGGTTTATATTATAAGAATATTATTAGCAGAAACACTGGTTAAGTTTAAGTAAATCACCTACGATTGAGTGGCGGCCAGCCCATTACAACATTTTAAAATTTGACGTGATAACAATGAATTTAAATAGAATATGAGCCAGTCAAAGTGGGTGTACATGATAAATCTACAAGATCTAAAGATCTTTATAGGTCTATAGTGTACACAAAGCGTCTTAAAACAATCAGTTGATTGCAGATGTGGAGATCCATGCCAAACGAAGAAACATAGCACAGAAGATTGTTGAATCCTCTAATGTTAATACGCACAGACCACAAATTGGAAGACACGGAGTTATAAAATGGCTCTGCGATCTATTACTTGGATTAAAATTATTTATTACACAATTTCCCATACCCAGTACCTATTAGTACAGGTGGGCTCTGGCTACTCGTTCTTTAGCCTACATCCACACTTGTCTCACCTATCTTCTTGACACTACCTCTCAACGCATTTCTCTTTCTCCCAATACACCCGCACCGTCATAATTCCATAATTCTCCCACGACTTCGGCCGGGTACTGTACCCAATACTCGCAGACCAACAGTTGCGTAATACCTATTCAATTCTAACCCTATCCAATCTGGTTACACCACACACACAGAGCATAATAATAGATATTGTTTTTATGAATGTACCAGTTCGTCGTTGATTATCGTATCGTTGCTGCTGGTGGACGGGGCTTCGGTGATGACGGCGGAGGGTCCGTCGTGAACGTTGTCCCGGGCGTCCTCCGTGTTGGCCTGGGTGCCCCGGTCCATGGTCTGCGGCCGGTTGTTGACGTTCTCCAAGAGTAGACGACCGGGCCGCGGGTTTTGCCTGGGCTGCAACACCGAAGCTATGACCGGGTCCGAAGGCGGCTGGACGTGATGATGGTGAAGCGACGGGATTACGGTCGGAGCGGTCGCCGGCGACGAAGGCTTGGCGTCCGACTCGATCAGCCTGCGGAAACGAAACGGTTAGAAAAAAACGGTCAGTCGGCCCGCGCGGTTGTGTCGGTACCTAAACGTAATATTATTGTTATTTTTTTTTTTTATATTATTATTATTATTATTATTGTCATTATCGTTATTGTTATCGTTACTATTGTTATTATTATTATTATTGGTAATATCGCGTTTCTCTAGGCTTTTCAACATCGCGTAGTAGCAAATCAACAACCGGAGATAGACGAGCTGCAATTCGTACGCGAACGATGACGGTACGTCGTCGTCCATAATGATCGAGTAGACGTGCAAACGCGTGTATAGTATTAAAATAATAACGCGACTGTAAAATGGGTATGAATATTCCGTTACCAAGTGCACCGCGACCACCGACTGATGGAGAACGCCGCTGTTTACTTGTTTCATTTGTATGAACGACGGCGACAAAATGATGATTTCGCGTAATTTTTTTTCTCTCCGATAATTCTACGCGATATTACTATTGGGGAAAAAAAAAAAAAAAAAAAAAAAAGACGACCGTCCCGGGTTACAAAACAAACGACTCGTTTCACTGCGCTGAGTCGACGGGAAAAATGAAAGAAAAAAAAAAAACAACCAGCCGATTAAGCGAATAACATAAACAGACGATTTCAGTAGTTTCAAAAATGTTTTACGGCACATATTATTATAAAGACCGATAAGCTGCGACCGTGCGACTGTGGTTTTAAACGAAAATATAACGGGATTATATAATTTCTCCTCTTCCCCGCCAACCGGCTAATTATTACCCATTCGCACCGACCTTTATTTCAAATGTCTTATCGGTCGACCCGCGTGCAAACAGCGTGCGTCGACATAGTAATATTCATTTAGATTTACCTAATCCGTAGCAATTATAACAGAATTTTCGCTATCGACGTATTACTTACACGAGGGTGTAGGATACCCGTAAAATTACACCGGAATGTCTTTCTAACGATTTGTAACATAAGTACGCGTAATAATAATGTGCGCGTTTCATAATATCGTATTCGCCCGCGTAGTATTATTTATGACGGGAATATAATGCGGGCAGTGTAGAAACACTCACGATAGAAATCAGAATGCATAAGAGTGGTGTAGAATACAGAAGACATAACCAAAAACGGCCAGACACTGCGAACGAAATGAAAAAAAAGAAGAAAAAAAGAGAAGCTATAGATTGGACTATTCACGCGTGGAGGATCCACGGTTGATTAAGTACGCAGTGTAAATTGATCAAAAAGTAAACGTTACTCCAACAAAATTTTGTTGGAGTGACTTTATTGAGCAGGACTTTTCAAGGGTCTTGGTCTCCTTATACAGTGTTTATCCCCCCCTCCCCCCGAAAAATGTATACCGCTCTCTGAAAATGTATTACTACGTAAATTACCTATAATATGTAATACGATATACTATGAAACGAGTTATGAGCTGATTATGAGTAAATAAATATTATTATGATAAATAAAAAAAAAAATGTTGTTACATAAATAACCGTATTCTAAAGAGCTACAAAAAAGTCATTATTGGGCATATTTTCTTAATGTTTTCCCCGGGTGTAAAAACTCCTAGATCCGGCTCTGCCTTTGGCATTCCTCCTTGGAAATTTACGATATTCCCCCCCCCCAACGATGAAGGTCTTAAATAAACACTGGCCTTAGAAGAACAAGGAAACGTGGACTGGAAGAAGGTAATAGTGAATAGAGAAGACTGGAAGAAGTCTTGTTCTGAAGCTGTAGGGTCTCATCGGCCGTGGAAAAAAAAGAAAGTGAATTTGCATTATTACACCGATGACGACGTGAAAAAGGCCCATCCCGTCACTGAAGACTGAACAAATAATTTATAATAATAATATTTAAAGAGTATTAATAATCTAGGCGCGTAATGATATTCGTAATAGTCGACACAATTATTAGGTAAGCGGTCGACAAATTGAATATTCAAAGCCTATTTAGTTGATATCGTCAACCTGTTATTTATATTCGTCTTATGGTGTACGTGTTATGCATCGGACTTTAAAATACTATTAACAGAATAAACGATTTTCATCGTCGGATCTGTAAATACAAAACCCATTTGGTAATCCAATCAGATTTATGTGTAAATTCTCATTAAAATTTGTATTTTCTTAAGTGAACTTCTTTTACGAAAACTAATAGTAATTGTAAATGCAGTATTCTGGTTTCCAAGCGATCAACGGTGATAATATTTATGTATAGTATCGTTAGTATTGTAAATTGTAAACGATGACATTTCCGATCTACATCACAATCGTTTATTATTTTAGAAAAGTTTTTAATTTTTGTACAAAATATATAATCGACGCTTCGAATTATCAACTGGAGTGGCTTTTGTTTCAGCGGTCAGTTTCTTAATGTCCACGCGCACAACTTTTCAGAGTACCTACTTCGCAATGGACGTACAGTGTTTTACTTTTTTTTAATTCTGAGTGAGGAATGATTTGGTTTTACTATCCGGTAAAAAACGAAAAAACTATTTTTAATCAATAAATCAAGCTTCCCCTCGTAACTTGGCTGAAATATATAAATTTCAAGATTAATAGCGTTTTCCAGCATACAGACATTTTATTTTAACAGTTTCCACTATAGCACGGTGCGAGTTTTTCACCAGTTCGCAATATTCACTACTACAGTTGGAAAATAAAACATTGTTACCCCGCAACACTCGTAATTATTGAAAATAAAGATATTTTTATTTTATGAAAACCATTCAAAACCGTCTCAAAAAACTCGTGCGCCAATTTTCACACTAAGCGCTGAACATGCCTGCAGTTTATTGTGTTCGAACACAATAAACCGAGGTAGTGCAAATACAATTCTGGTAGATGGAACACGCCAACGGTACTCCATGCAATAATGTAACTACCGTAGATTATCTATGGCAACTAGCTGAAAAACGCCATCAATCATTGGTTAAACTAGGGGTTTAAAACCTTCCTCTACGTCACTGCCGAGAATTGTGGCCCTCGTATGTTGCGAAGCATTTTAATGACATTAATAACATTTATCGTACGAGATAAATTCAATTCATAAACGGACTAAGCCGCCTTTAGTTAACATTCACCAGACAATGGCACCGTTATTACATTATAACAGTAATATATATATATTTTGTTTTTATTCTTAAAGCAAGAAACTGAAGTGAAGAAAATCGTAGAATGGCAGAGAATGAAAAGGGATTAGTCCGTTATTGCGGTGAAGGCCTCAATTAAAATATTAAACACATTTGAATTGACTGTATTCTGTACATATTATACCAACTATATCATAGTGTTACATAGTATATACAATATACATAGTATTATACCAACAAAAATTATCATAAAATAATATGTACCTTTGCATTATTGTTCGCATCAATTATCCGAAAATTCTTTAGGTACGACGTGTACAATTATTCGGGTTATTTTTTTGTTTTTTTATGTACAATTTTTAATATATTTTGAAAAATTCAAAAACCATACCATATATTGTTCAATTGGATAGGTAGATAGATAATTAAATATTGAATTTATCATTATATAACAACACAACTGTTTATAAAAACGACGGAATAATATTACAAAATTTATTTTTGATTGGCAACGATTGCATATAATTTGACTTGACAACGAATGCGCACATTGCGCAATTTATTAAATGTGTATACTCAAGTTTATATCTCGCATATCTCCGGAGCATTGTAAACGTTTTACTTTTGCGTTGTTAATAATTGTGATTAGGATGGTTTTTGTCTATGTACATGAAACTACAATTCAATATCATACAATCGATTCGTTTATTTTATAAAGCGTAACTGATATATTGCAACTACAGTGAACGTTTCAGATTGTAACTTAGTCATATGGTAATAATAATGTTGATAGAGAGATAGCGTATTAAACGTAGATTTAGTTGCCTGTATCGATTACATCAGGGCGCAACACCGTGAGCCATTGTTATAAATACATAATATTCAACGTTATACGAATAGAAAATCCAATGACTATAATAAATTTTAATAATTTTATTGAATTCGCTATAAACAGAACGTTTTGAAAAAAATAAATAAATTCACCGGACGATAACACTCTATTATTGTAATACATATATATAATAAGTAGGGTTGAATAGTATTCCTCCTACGCACAGCGGGCTGAATAAGCGATTTAGGCGGACAAATGTATTAACTTTTGAACGGTTAGATCTGGTAATGGTTGCAATGAAATGTCTGCACGAGTGTCTGTGATAGTACATACATTCTTCGGAAGGATAACGCGATTTTGTTTTTTTTGTTTTTTGTAACATATAACAAGAAGGGTATAACATATGCCCCGCACTAATTGCTTTTACTCCCATTGAATTGTAAGAAAATTGTGTTAATTTGCAATCTGCATACGAAGCTAACGCTTCTTCAGCCGTATATGATTTGGGTTCCATATCATTTTCGCTACGCAATACATGTTTAATTTTAGTTGCCGTCTGACCAGTGGGACTCGATAACTGTTTAACTAAACTAACAGCGTTTCGGTTACCTGAAGATCGAATACCGATTTCGGCAGCATAAGCCGGCTCCTCACAACTTTCTTGCATCAAATGATTCACCTTTCTTTTTTTAGTTTCATGATTGCATTCTTCTTTAAAATCTTTTAATGGGCGCCCTGGTCCGGTAGATGGAACAAGGGTTGCGAAAACAATATTAAATTCAACCGGTTTTTTTATTTAACCATGTATCAAACTTTTTTTAAAAAAAAAACATCTTTTTTTCTCGAACTCTTCTCCTAACGATCATTTATTTTCACTGAAAAATGTTTTATTTTTTCTCTCATTTCTCTCAACCACTCTTCGGACATTTCTACTGCATTAAATCTGTTAACTATGTACTCAAATAATTCCTCATTACGGCTATTCTTATTATATTTTTTCTAAACTTCATAAAATTCTCTTCTTAGAAGCGAATACTGTAACTCTAAAAAATTATAAAAAAAATAAAAAGCTATTTGCGCAATAAAGCACAAGAACTCGGTCAAAAGAGTGGCTGAAAAATAGACAATATTATACTCACGAGAAGCTATTAACAGAGTTGCGCAATTTTGAAATAAACGATTTCAAAAATTTTTTTAAGAATGGATGATGAGTGTTTCGATGGAATTTTAACTTTGGTTAATCCATTTATTAAAAAACAAAATACGCGAATGCGAGATTTTTCAGTTCTTTTCTATAATTTGTGCGTAAAGAAATACATTGTTCCTTTACATCATCTAAAGTCGCTGTCGGGAAACGGTCTTGATATTTTTTTAATAAAACACCATACGCGTGATTTTTCTTATTTGTGTGCATCAGATTCTATTTCCCATAGTGCTGAACGATCACGATAAACTTGAATACATTCTAATATGAAGTTTCGTTCCTCATTTCTTTCGGAAGAAGACATTGTATATACGATTTTATAATTATTTCCGCATAAAACACGTATACACGCACTTGTTTATCGGGACAAAAACAGAAACTACACTGACGGAATACCGTCAATAGTTATCGGTGAGCGCCACGAACAGCGCAATAATATTGACAATCTATCAATGAAAAATCGAAAAATTTTGATCGTTTCAATACATTGAAACACGTCTTCAATATCATCCATACACTGTCAATATCGTTGTCAATATCAAATATCGATCGTGTATGGGCCGCTTAAGTCGGATAAAACGCTATAGCTGTCGCCGTATGGTCGTTTACGGTGACGGTTCCCGGCGTTCACGGGGAATAACGACCCCTCGTGTAATGTACCCGTTTATTAGCGTTGTCACAATGTTTCTACGCCGCCGCCGGAGCGCGTTTTTCGAACATCGTAACGACTGCTCGGAATGACCGTGACGCGTTTTCCGTGAATTCGTGCGGTACGCGTCTACCTGTACGCGCGGTGAAAAGGAAATACCGAACCGTTCGCGGACCCGCCCGCAACGTAAACGTCGCGCGCACGATAACAGGCACTGCCGGATATCAAAAATACGCGATTGTTGATCGATAATGGGACGGCATTCGCGGCGGCCGCGTACGGGTTCTCGGTGGCTCCGCGAATTGTCGCCGTGCCCCGATCCGAACGTCCCGGCGCGGCCGGGGCGTGTGTCACCGGAGGGGGCCGGTGTTACCGTGCAGTACCGCGGTCTACCGTGTGTTCCAAAAATACCTTTTCGGACACGACGGGCGGATTAGGAGGCGGAGAAAAAAAAATAAATAATAGTAATAATAAAGGAAATCCATTAGCGGCCGGCCCGGAATGCCCTCTGCACGCGCGCGCACGGGTACACGGTCACGTTATTGTCATAATAATAGGCATTGGGCCCATTAGGGAAAAATAATTGTCCGGCGACTCACCTCAAAGGCGTCCACAACAACGACATGGCGGTAAACGAGTATTATGGGTCAGGTTATTAGCCCGTACGATTGCGGCCGTTAAACACATGTGTGTGTGCGCGCGCGCGCATTAACGTTTCCTCGTTATTGTTATATTTTAAGAACTCCGTCGATCCGGTCTCGTTGTCGCCACAAATACGACCACCGTGTCGTTCGGAATTCGACAAAAACGCAATATTATTTCTGTTGTTGTTGTTGTTGTAATTAGTACGCATTTAGACGCGTCGTCGGTTATGAATGATCGAAAAAACGACCGGATCCGAAATTTCGTCGGGTGTCCGTTTTACTCCCGGGTTCCGCGGAACTCATCTCCGGCGTACGCCGTCAGAAATGTACGGGGGCGGGGAGCGAGCTCGCGGCAACGACGGAGAAAAAACTATAAAAAAAAAAAAAAAAAACGCCGACCTTTTCCCGTCGCGTAACGTACGGGTTATTTATAATGTACCGGGCGCACGAGACGAGACGGCGGAAACACTGTGTGAAACTCGAATACGCGTCGGCGATCGCTTTGAGGCGGCGGCGGGGCAGCTGTTGCGTTCGTTTTGGCGTCCGGGCCGCGAGGACTGCGCGGTATCGGTCGATCGGACGGCGATAACGGACTGCGGCACTACTACTGCGCCCGCCGCCGTCGCGATTGCTGTTCGGGACGGATAATTAAGACAATGACAAAAAAATTACGTGATTTTTTTTTATTTTTTTATTTTCGCGACATCGCGCGGAGTAGGCGTACAATTACTGCGGTACGGCCGCGGGTACGCGCGGGGGGCGCGTATCTCCGGCCGGTCAGTCGACGACGCGTACGACCGCGGCGCGCAGACAGGTCATTATGCCTACGTGATTTTTTCGCTGTCGGCGTGCATACCTCACATCGTTACACCCAAAATAAGCGCGCGCGCGCGCGGCCGTCGTTTTTTTTTCCTGCAGCGGATTAAATTGAAAACAATAACGGCCGATCGGACCGACATAGGAACCGGAAGGGGAGATGGGAAAACGAAACGACTGCACGTTAGGACACGACGACATTCTACTGTCTGTCTGATGTCCGTCTATTCAACAGAATCCCCGGAAAAACATTCGATTATAGTTTAACCCGCAATGGTTTGAGCGTACAATAATAAATAATTAGAGAGAAACGTAAAATGAAAAAATCGTATGTATTTTCCCGATTCCGCGAATTTATCGTCCCGGACAATAATCGATTCTGGGATGTACGTATTGATGGCTTACGGCATAGGGATGTTTGGGACATTAGGGATACGCTCGCGTGTAACGCTGCGGTATTGCGGCGCACACGATACAGACCAATAATAATATAACAACAACAACAACAACAAAAACAATAATAAAAACAATAATACTATTGTTATGACGAATTTTCGGCGCCGACCTGTTGCGCGCGCGCTCCTCGCGCGGAAAACCGTTTTGCGTCACGAACCCTCGAAAAATTTGCCAATCGTCCCGCCGACGATGGCGAACAACGTGCGCGTTTTTAACGCCCCGCACAGATCGTATCTAAACGTTTTGAATGCAGCCCGTTCGCGTTTCCGAACCGACGCGATTGTAATCGATTTAAACGGCCGCCATGCGTGTGTCACGACTCACTAGGACAATATTGTACATATATATATATATATATATATATATACATGGGTAAAAGATACGATACGTTCGATAGTGACTCCACAACGACCGTCGTCGGGGATAAGTAAAAAGTAGGGTGCGGGTTTAAATGTTTAAAAAAAAAAAAAAAAACGAGAAAAATGCCTTAAAAAATACAATTTAACGCATTCAAATAAAATGAAAAAGGTTAAAAAATGCTCTAAAAATTATTTTAAACGTTGAAAAAACCGTTGCCTGTTAGGTATACAAATGTACACAACAGTGCAAATAGCGCAATACGAGGGGCAAGAGGCATTTCGTGTTTAACGCTACTTTATGGGTGTGCGTTTGAGCACAGCGCCGGGAATGTATTGACTTTACTATATGATGTATTTTATTTTTTTTTATATTTTTTTTTTTTATCTGTCTGTTAACGACTTTTCTACCTGCAGAAATCTCGCTCCGACCGAAAACCGACAAACAAAAGATATTTCTATAGGAAAACGTTGTCGTTTTTTTATTTTCCTTGTAAACTGCAGGGGACAACACCGGAATGTGTACACAATTACGATTTATGTTATTTTGGATTTTTTTTTTTTTTTCATTGGACACTTATATTAACCACTTCTAGATGGACTGCAATTTCCAAAACATTCTAACGATTTTCGAGCTACGTGTTGTGTAAAGTTATTTGAAATTGATAGCGGCTAATTAGTTTTCATGCGGATACAATGTTTTGGCTTTTCAAAAATACTCGAAGATTTGATACGATAAGATTCATCATATAAGATATAGTAAAAATATCGAAAATCCGAAATTTATAACATTTAACCAAACGGACTAGTCATTCCTTATATAATTTCTTCATTCCTTTTATAATTTTTATAACACACGGTTTACGGTCATACATTATTCATTTCGACACGCGGTTTTTATGTTCAACAAAAACGATAACGCTGAAATCCTCTTAATATTTAAATAAAACTCAGTTTTTTTTTTTTTTTGTCCACCTATGTTTTGATTTGGAAACGTCACCTTATATTAATCAATTTTAGTTTATCGACCTACATAATACGCAATACACAATATATCGACGTTAATTTAAACAACAAAGTAAAGATACATAAAAAAAAAAAAAAAAATAAACGAATAGCCGCCACTGGCGAATTTCACGGACAAAAAAATATCAAAACGTATCTATATACATTCTAGTCTATAGAATACCTAGAATAACTATTTTGTTATAATCAGGAAGAGCAAAACGGTCAAACTTCCTGTACGTATAGGTATAATACGTCGTTACGCAATACAACTTCTACACAATACTGCAAACGCGTCCATTGACGCCTGTATAATGTACAAATATAGTATCGTACGACCGCCGACGAATCGAAAATATCCGTGATACTATTAAGAAAAAATATAATAATAATAACAAGAAAAACCGCCGGCCCACTGCAGAAATCGTATACAAACGCAATATTATGTACAATAAATTATGTACTATAATTCGCATAATGCCCCGTGACTAAGCAGGTGAAAACTGCGGTACCGCAATACATTTTCAACGAAAGACCTATTGGACCGTGTAGAAATTTCCCCTTCCCCCCACCGCGACCCAGGGAGCTCGCCGTATAGTTTACTGCGGCCATAGCGATACACAGCCACATCTATACGTCACCGGTGGCGAATTCATAACGTCTGCGGGATAATAAGCATAGGCTGAAATCTACTTTTAGCGGCAAGTTTAACGTGGGGGAAGGGAGGGCGAATTTGTTTTTGAAATTCGTATTGCTGGTAAAATTACAATGACCCCGGACCCGGAGACACCGGCTAGTAACAAGGAGGAATGGAGGCAATGTCGCGGAAAACTATATAAAACGAACATTATACGGTACTAAAGAAGAACAAGAAAACTAAACGTATTGAATAATGTACTGTAAATGGCATAAATTAAAATTTACGGCGACTACTGTTCGGATAGAAACGATAAAAATAAATTGTCGGCCTAGGGGCGATAAAAAGCTAAACGACATATACGATTTATCGTGACGAAACCAAGGTTCTCGGTATCCGCCTAATAAATACGTACGAATAGCAGTTTGGAGTTTGGTTTTATTTTTTTAAGCCTTTTTTAATCCCGTCACGTACAGACACAATAGAGATTTTCCATCTCGGGATGACGGGCGCGGAACGGGAGCATAATACCTATATAATAATAAAGTACATTTTTTTTTTTTTTTTTGGTTATCGTTTCGAGTAAATATACGATTTCGGTATTTACTTTTTTGTCAGCCGCCGGCGGGGGTTCACTCGAGCTAAAGCAAAAGAAACACCCTGTACAGAACAACGTCCCGGGTGTGGACCGCCACCGTTTAAAACGGTATTATTATTATACGAGTAGACGATTCGTGCGAACGTATTTATTTCGGAGGGACCGCTATGAAACTGGGTTTTTTTTTTTTTATTATTATTTTAAGTTCCGGCAGCTGCTGTAATACGTAGTTGTACGGTGCACGACAATCGCTGTAAATCTGGCCGAAAGACGTCGGTTACGTTTCTTTCTTTTCACTCCCTCCCCCCACGTACAGAGAATATCATAATACTAATAAAATATCCGCGCCATTTGTTTCCGCTGCGCGCGCAGCCCGGCCGAAAAACCGTATCGAACACACGCGCTCTGCTACAGCGCTCATCGATCGCGATCGAGTTTTAGATGATCGCGTCGATCTAAAATCGTTTAGCTCTTCGTCATTTAGTTAATGAGGAGATCCGCAGGGGGCCGGAGTGGGCGGTATACGGCGACGATACGTCCCTTCTGGCTTAACATTTCAAAAAAAAAAAAAAAAGTCAATATTTACGATAAAGAAAAAAAAAACCGATAAATCCCTCGCCACGCTCCGAAATATTACACTACAGACAGTAATACGGGACAGTGGCGTCAAATCGGCCGCCAGCAAACATGGGTTGCCTATGTAAAACATTTACGGCGTAGAGTGTACCGATAGATTAATAGTAATCGTCAGCGCCTCGGGATTCCGGGCGGCTGTGTCGCTATCATTTCGCTATTGATTATCATTATTATCCATATGCGTGTTTGATAACACATAACTCGGCACCCCCCGGACTTTCGAAGGCGAACGCTCTCGTCTATCTGTTCAAATGTTGAACTTGTGCACGATAAAATGTCCACACAAAACACGGTTTGTTTTTTCCTCGCACGCGCGGCAGCTATTTAGGTTTATATATTAAAGATTATATTAATGTGTTGATGAACGGCCTTTCAAATGTTCGTATGATTTATTACAGCTGCACACACTTTGTTTAAACCATAACGTTATAATTATTAAGTCGATTTTTATTGATTATTATTTTTTTTTTCAATGCGTTTAAAAAAATATAAAAATGATTAATAATGATTAATAATGATAACGACAAATTTATATTAATTCATAATTTATTAAAACTGCCGTTTTGCACATATTGAAAATATTTGTATATTATTAGTTTTGTTCAATTCATGAAATGGGAATTTAAAAAATATTAATCAAATTAATTATAATTATAATTATTTTGATTAATATTATTTATTATCTTTTGTCAAATCTGCGAATTGGGCAATTCATGTGTCCATTTAACGAAATGGGCGAAGAATTAGACATCTCTTGAACTGAACGTATTAAAGACCATAAATCCGAAAGATTATAACAAAAATTGAAAATATTTCGTTGATTAATAGTCGTAATACAAGGTAATAAAACATTGACGCATTGAAGCAGAAATTTAACGACTATTACTAAGAAACTATTTATCGGATGTGAATGTAAGATGCATTCAAATTTTCAGATTAACATATTTTACAAATTTACTATTTTGAAAATTTTAAAAATGTTATTCTTTCAGTTATTGAGAGATGAAAATGAAAACTGAATTTTTTCTACATCTGTGTCCCCTTAACAAAACCTAATTGAAAAAAAAAATTAAAAATTGACAGTATTATTAGCATTTGTGTAACACTATAGAATGTAATCTTGTATATATATATATATATACACACATCTAATTAGTCACTAATATTATAGTATTAATGCATTTTTATTGTAACCCACTATGAGTATAGAATTGAATGTTAATTTCCTAGTACAATAATACTTATACAGTAACTACACGTTAATATTAATCTTTAGCTCGAGTTCGATCGCATTTTAACCTTTAACATTATAACCAAATAGAAGACGTAATTTTTGCTAGGAAACTGTATGAGTTTTAATATTATTTCAATGATAAAATATTACTATATTGTACGTTGCGAGTGATAACAATAATTACCGTACAGTACACTATAATGTACGCAAATGAGGCATCACGAAACAAAGAAAATAATATTACAATATAAGACTACGCCTACAGTATTTACAGTATAATACGAGCATATGCTTCGCGAATTGTTTACAGATAACGTAATCGTATGAGTTTTTGTTTTCATTTTAATACATTACAAACAACTTTATACAATAGTTTTGTTGCCCGATTTCCGAACACTTAATAGGAAACATGAACATTGAACAAACACAATCCTATTGTAGTTCAAGGCGGTCGAAAGTAATCCATTTTTATACATACATTCAGACCAATAAGCTAGAGTAAAATAAACACACTTCCAGTAGATATTCAAATTTTTGATTGGAAAAATGATTCAACTTTATTCGTACGAATTTATTAAAAAAAAAAAAATAATAATAAAAATTACTACTACATAAATAAATTAACTTAATGAAAAAAGCGGATAAAATAAATTTGCTGAAAAAAATAAGACTAGAAATTAAAAAAAGCTGTCCTAGAATAATGGGGACAAGCGCAGCCACTGTTGTAGGTGGAAAGTTGGGAATGCAGGATACAGAAGGGTATTTAATGTATAAGCAAACTATAAACCAATGCTAACGGAAAAACGATTCTGAGCGGAGGTCAATTGATAGTGATGTTTTGCCAACAGTATATAATATGTCATATTATGGTAAAATAATTAAATAGGCGTTATATAGTTTCTTTAATATTGTACCGATATTCCCGGTTTTTTACATTTGCTGGTAAAACTGTTGGGAGAATCGAAAAATGGCCTCTTCAAAGTACCTTCCCAGTCAGATTTATTTTCAGAAATAGTGCTACCATTGTAAATCGGAGCAGATTTTCTGGTACAAAAGTTGTGCACGGATAAAAAAAAAAAAATCTTTATAAAACCATAAGCTTCTTCGCTCCACTCAGAATCTAAAAATTAAAATATGTTTTTAAAATTAAAGCTATAGTGATAAATAATTATTATTCCATACCGCAGTACCAATAATGTCCGAAAAAATCACCGTTTTCAATCTTTAATCTTCAAATTCGATTGTATTCCAAAACGAAAACCATGACGTATTATTATTGTGATGGAATTCATAATAACCGCGGACACCGCGAAGAATATTAAAAGGACACGCGCGTCCGTGTTATTTCCGCTTAAAAACATTATAGTGGAAAATATGTGTTTACGCAGACTGCACAAAACTCGCGCAGTTTTAATGTAAAAGCACCTGTTACGAAATGAATAGAGAACGACATTCCGGTGGGCAAGACGTCGCGTTTTATTGAAATAGTCGTAATTGATAAACGGTAAACCGACTGTTGAATTCGGGGAAAACGGAAAGGAAAAAAAAAAAAAAACGAAACGTCTTGTCCCGCGGCATATTGTTCTAATTCAATAATTGTACGATAGGTGTTTTTACTCGAAATCAAAATTAATCGCGAGTTCCGTACGCGTGTGTTTTTCCCCTCTCTTTCCGACTATATCGCGCGTTTGTAGAAACGGAAACGACAAATTGGGACGGCGGCGCGTCGCCGTCCCTTTCAAGGCTCGATTCGAAACATCTCACGGACAATCGCGGGATCGATTGTGCGCCGCGGCGCGATGTCCGCGGTTTTATCGGCACGAATGATAGAAGAACGAGACGAATGTTTCGTAACGCGCGAACACGGCTGGAAAACGAATGGAACGTTACCGGACAAACGGACAACAACGTGACGCTAAACGGCACGGCCGATCCGGGGTTGTGACGAACTACAATTTGTTTATTGCATTGACCGTTCTTAACACGGTAACCGCCGCGAAACGGTATACGCTTTACAGGTGACTACGGTGAACCGCAATTGCGACAACAGCGTTTTACACGCGCGGCGTGTGCACAAAGAGCGCGCGTCGCGACTGTTACCAGCGATTATAAAACACGGTGCCCCGGTCCGCGCCAAACACACACGCTACCATGCCATCCATGCCAACAACTATTAAATACTATTGTATGCGTCTACGTGCCCGTAATCTACAACCCTACAGACGGCCGCCCAATACTCCATTTCTGTCCACAGACGGCAAACGTTCTCCTGGTCCACAATAACAGCGGCAGCGTCGATCCTTTCTTTTAGTTCCGTCAACGTGGTACGCAGCGAATTTCGCCGTTTTCTCGCCATACATTAAGAATCGGAACTCGGCAAACCGTACGCGACAAACGAATCGGGTGTTGGTATTTTCGAACACGCTCGCCATTATACTTACGCGCGCGCTACACCACTGAGCTGCGCGTCGCGCGCGACATTGATCATGACCTTCATTTGGCAAGGGCGCACGGGACCCTTCCCTCGTTACGCTTCCCCTCACCCTCGCGGTACACGTCGCAGGGTGGCCAGATACCCGAACGCGAAATCGAGTACACAATGCATTACCCGCGTGCAGTACCCACGGCATCGTAACTATTATTATGTCCGCGGTCCCGGGGATCGGATTCAATTTTGAAAATGCATACGCAAACACACGCGTGCACGCCGGTCGGACCGAAAACAAAGGTAACGAAATCGTTAAAAAACAAATTGCAAAAATCGACTTTGGGCCCTTTTTCCCCCCGGTTCCAAACATGCATGTATTATATTAATACAAATAGACGTCGCGTGTACGCAATGCAGCTTCGATTTTCTTCACGGCGGCTCGTTGTAGTTTCGCTGTGAATGGGTAGCCCGCTACAGTATCTCCCCATTGATAACAGGACAGCTTGGCCGGGGTAGGTCTGGGAGGGGCGGGGCGGGGCGGGGGGGGGGTGGGCGGTGGTGTAAAATGCAGTCGTCTCTAACCGCGCCAACACGGCGTTCGTACACAGCGGTCCGCGGTGGTAATGCAACACAATATAATTTTGGCGTTATGGAAGCCAAAGGACGCGGAGTCGGTTTTCTATACGGTTTGCAACACGAGCGAATTGTTATTTTTGAAAACACGCACGCGCGCGCACACACACACACACACACACTTAATATGTCATTTAGCGTAAACAATAAACGGGGGAAAAAAATCACACCAGTCAGACCACTTTGCCGGGACCGAAGACGTTTGTTATGCCAGAAATAAACTACACACATACGTTCGAATAATGGCGAACACTCGTAAACCGGGGCGGGCGTGACCAATGATCCGGCCGATCGTTCATGTCGATAACGCGGTTATTAATGCTGTTTCGTATGGGAAGCCACGGGACGGCCGCGTACTTGCGTTTTTATTTATCATTCGGCGCCGCGCGCAGACGAAGCCGCGTGTGATCTGCCGTAGCGCGTCCCGTTACGATAACACGTATGTTGTGTGTGTACAATTCGGCGGAAAATTGTTCGCCGTATTTTTTTTTTTAAACTCCGTTTCGCAATGACCGCGCGCGATTCGATACCTACACGCATAATATTATTATTGTATTATGCGAGGCGATTCGCCAAACGCGTGCTCGCACAATTTTTTTTCCGGTTAAATCTTGCATGACGTATTCCATTTATCTGATTTTTGAAATTTTCGAGTGCAATTAAAGCCGAATACTTTCGAACATTTAGATTTTTCACGGCATTTAAGGAGCATCCTGTGGCGATGCCGACTTTGGTTTTTCAAACGAGAACCTACATTGAAACTTACATAAACAGGCGGAGGAGCATTACTTTGAATACGTTTCGGTGTTAAATTGTTCGATTTCCGTCAACCCGTTGACGAAATATTTCACTTTTAAGTGTAGACAGGGAGAGAGTAGTGGAGCACTAACAAAACGCCGTCACCCAAATAATACTCCACTAGTATATATTTTAATACTCAAAGTAATAATGGGATTTTTTTCGGTATCGCCACAGGATACCCCATAAATGCCGTGAGAGTATTAAGAGAAAATATCGGCTCTAACTCCGCTTAAAAATTCCAAAAATCATAATTTGAATACAGTAGATACTCGATTACCCGTCACTCTCCGTCATCGGTCACTGTCTTACTTCTTGGTAAAACACGAAACATCGAAAAGTTCGTGTCTAAAAAAATTTAAAAAAAAAAAAAAAATAATAAAAAAACTAGAAAAAGATTACGGATTATTTTTTATTTGGTGTTTTTGTCTTCGCAAATGCAAACACGTTGTAAAATATATGCGTTTATTGCGAAATGCCCGTTAACCGCCACGGCCCCGGCGGTTAACGGGCATCTTAGAATCGAGAAATCGGACGAGCGCCGCGCTCAGTGAATCGCCCTGTACGCGTACCGGAATGCGTTTGTTCGATAAATTCAACGTCAAATCCGGCCCGTAGACGCCCACGATTACGGTGATAACGCGCGACGACGAATACGGTTTTCTTCTCCGATTTTGTCCGTCCGACATGCGTGTTATACCGGCGAGGTGTTCGAAAACAGCGTTTACACAGAACCCGTACTGCGATAAAAAAAAAAAACCAAAAAAAAAAAACCGGTCCGGTATCGTTGTGCACGGTCCGTTTTACGAACAATACCGCGACATACGGTACGCTCGTGTTCGCGTAGGCCTCCGAGCCGTCACCGTTACACGGACGAAATCCCGGACCGGATACCTGGAAAACGGACGGGACGTACGCGGGCGGGACAGTGCGGGTGCACGGGCATCTTCGCGTCATTGTGCGCGATTTCGCCTATTGGGATGGAACGCGCGTACGCGGTGAAACGTCTGAGCGGCGCGCCGTCCGGACGCCTCGTGGCGCGCGTGAGACGAAGAAGTGAGTGTTGTTCGTCCCGCTGCGTCCACGGCGACGACCGCAGAAAAAAAACACGCGGCGCATTTGTCCGCGGTTCGGCACCGTGAATTAATATCGTTCGGTACGTTACCGGCACCGTTACGCACACGCACACGGTACCTAAAATGTACGCCGTGCACGACATCGGCCGGTCGCCACCAGGCCGGGACGCGATATTTCGCGCCGAGCGTCCGTGTCCCGCGAAGACGAACCCCTTGAAGAACACCTCCGGGGATAACAAACACAATCGAATTCTGTTTCGGATTCCGGGCGTAGCGTGACTATAGGTTTTACCAAGACGTTTATTCGTTCGTTCGTTTGTTTTTGTTTTTTTTTTTTTTGTCGGTCTTCTTCTAGTCCGCGGACACGTTTTTTTCGTAGTAAACACGCTCCGATTTTTACGGGCAGCGACTTTCCCGAGAGCTCGAGTCGTCCGGGCGGCGCTTTAGAATGGTCACGATTTTTCCACTGCCGAATCACACGCCATTAATCGCGTAACAGCGTTTTGTTTTGGTTTTCGGCGAAATCTCATTTTCACTTGGCGCCGCGTATCGCTCGCGTTATTCGCACAGTTTATTCGAACGATTCGGTCGGTTGACGCCCGGGCGGGTTGGAGGTCGGCATCAACCGGTACCAGCCGCCCACCGTGGTCCCGGGCAGTGACTCGGCGGAGTTCCCGCGGGAGGTGTGCATGGTGTCCGACAACACTGCCATAGCCGAGGCTTGGTAAAATGTACGGCATAACGCGCGAGAAAAGGCCGTTGAAGACGATGCCAGAAGAGTTGCGGCATACCGCTTTTGACAGCCGAGGAGAAAGGAGCGAAGAAGTACAATGGCGCAAATATTTGTCACGTGCTCCTTTGCGTACAATAATTTATTATATTTTTTGTCGACTTTTGGCGGGTCGCGAAAATCGTTTTAAATTATATAGATTCCAAAAAAAAAAAAATCGTGTTTTTAAATTCTGAGCGGAGCGAGAATTGTGTTGGTTTTACAATGATGTTTATTTTTTGTCTGTAAACAACTTTTCTACCAGCGATTTTGCTCAAATGTTCAAGTCTTAAAAAAATTGAGAACCACTGCCCAAATATATAAGTTTTATTTACACGTATACAATAAAAGCGTGGTTATAATGAAATGAAAAAAAAAACAAAAAACAAAAAACGTTTCGACAGTTTAAGAAAACAAGCAGGTCTAAAATGTCACATCGCCATTATTTTCTGTCGTCCTTTTTTTCGGGGGTAGAACGAGTTTTTGATTTTCAAATGTTACATTGCAAAAACACGCACATTTTTTTTTTTTTTCATAAAGCCATCTGACAGGTTAATTAATACAACCCGTGCGCACGAAATCCCCGGGGACAAACAATTCCAAAGAAAATCAACACTCTCCGAGACGACGAGTGCGATGATCACGTTGTATAAGTGCCTAGTCGAGTGCCTACCGGAGTGTTATTATATTACGAAATGACGGGGAACCGCAGTTGTCGACAGCGTTTAGATAACCGTGCTGCTACTCGGAACTCGAAATATGCAAACACGATGTTTTTTTAATCTATCCGTTGACGTAGAAAATGTGTAGGGGAAAAAACAAAATACGAACGACCGCCGAACGAACTCGGTTCGCAATTATATTACGGCAACTTTGACCATTTTCGACGCAGAAACGATTGTGGCTGTACGCTGTCGGGCGGCGAACAAATCGCACGGACCGGCAACGGGAACAGAATAAATAGAACCCGGGAACGAACAGTCGACGGGTTCGATAATTCGAGCGGTTTTTCGCCGTGTAAACCGACTGAAACGCGCCGCGCGATTCCGAGATAAAATAAGGGTGGGTTACGTTACCGCCGGACCGTTTGACGCCGGGTGGGGGGGGAGGTGATATACGGTACGCCGGTCCCGTCGGTAATGGCAGTATAAAAATCGAGTTAAAAGATTGTGAAAGAAAAAAAAAAATCAACCGTTGACATTTTATTAGTTACATTATGGACGAAAAAAATACAAACAATATCGTACAACTTTTAAACGACAAATAAACAACAATTACTGACTAATACTGATTAGGAGGTATGTCGTACAGTACACGCGCGTAAACGTTTTTTGTTTTTTGTTTTGCTAGGTAATACATCTATTTTCACGCAAGTGCCTATTACGCGCACGAGTCGGTGGTCGGCCGAGTCGAATGTAAACGTACGTTTTGATGAACTTGAGAAGCAGACGGGGTCGGCGGCGGCAGGAGGTTGACGTGAGCACCGGCGGCTCGCGGAATCGACGGGTTCCCTCCTCATCTCCCCCCCCCCCGGAAATATATTTATAAGCCGACGGTGGGGAGGGGGGCGGGGCGGGGCGGGATTATATTTCGCCGCGGAACCGACGGTGTACACACGCCCGGGGCTCGTTGAAAATAACAAAGCGAAAACCGAATGCACAATAAAATTGCATAACGTTACTACGATACGGGGGGAAAAAAAAAAAAAAGAAAAGAAAAACCGCGTTGTATGTTTATTGTTACGAACGACGCACGATAAAGAGATACGGATAGAAAAAAAAAAAAAACATCCAGTCGATGTATGCGATACAAACGACCTTGAGCGTTATACGCGTTATAACACCGATAACGTCGCGCGTTACGGACAAAACCGTAATCATCGCGGGCGAATTTCGTTTTACGGCGTGATAAACACCGTGCGGGTATTTTTACGCGGCCGCGCGTTGTTATTTTATTCGTTTTTTTATTTTTTTTTTATTTTTTTTTGCCCCCGGTCCGCGCGTCAGACTGTCCGCGAACAGCGACATGGCGCGATACGCGGCGGTTCCACGCTGTTATCATCGCCGTCGCCGCCGTCGTCGGACGCCTCGGCCTGCCGCCCACCCCGGCGGGACGCGACAAAGGTCACGGTCGACTCCGCGCCGCGCGGACGGGGCGAGTAAGGCGCCCGTCAAAAAGGTAAAAACGCTCGCGGCCCGCGGCCGGTCTCCGTACAAAACCGTTCGGAACCGACGCGATGCGCGCGCGCATAAAAAAAATAATAATAATAATATTGTTGTTGTTGTTATTATTCTTTTTATAATATTATTACTATTATTACCATCGTCGTCGTGTCTCGGGTAGTATTCACACACTCGCGCGTGGTTTCTTTATTCTTTTTTGTAGTTCACGAAAAACCGGTTCCGCGTCAAGAGCCGACGGCACGCCGCAGCCGGACGGTGCGCGCCGTAGATGCCCGCACCGCGGCCGCGTCCTGTCGCCCGAGCACGAACACCGCGGGAGAATAATAATATTATTATTATTATTATTATTATTATTATTATTATTACTATACCCGTCTGCGATACGATTTTCAGAGGGAAAATACGTTTTCCACCCCTATTGCGGTATGACGCGTCCGCCGTATAATACTTGGTGTCGGCCGTTTGGCGGATAAAACTCGTCACGGACGTTACGAGTTATAGTATCGTTTATACGGTACCGCCGCCGCCGACCCGTGACCCAATGTCAATAAACAACAGAGGAATAACGACACTCCGGCCGCAGGGAGCCGTCTCAAAATCCAATAGAATATAATTTATAATTTTTTCGTTGTCGCGAGTAAAAAAAAAAAAATAAAAAAACAACGCAGTTCGACACACGAGACGAGCTATACTAAAACATGTTCTTATCGCTGCTATTATAGCCATCGCGCAGTTCTTATCACGGTCGTCGACAACAAAACAATAATGTTATTGTACGATTCGCGCGCCCACCGATAAGCGAAATGTAAGCGAAATTCCCAACGAAACGGTTCGCGCGAGTGCAGGCGGCGAGTGAGTCGGCTGGTGAGCACCTCTGTACTATTACGACTTAACCACGCGAAGTTCGCGATTACGGTAAACAACAATAACGTTACCGTTTGTTATCGTACGGGTTCGCGGTCGTCGACCGGAGCACGGCGGTATTGAAACCGTCGAGACGACGACCGCGAACGGCGCAAAGGCTTAGGCGTAACAAGTGTAGCTGGTATGTAATAATAATATTATTGTTATGCGGGTACTAACGTGGTGGTGTGATAACCGTTATGATGGATAAAGTTGTTGTTGTGCACGCATTGCTGCGTCATGTAGTGCAACGATCCGTTCTTGGTGACCGTGCCGTTTTGATCCAGCAATTTCCTGTACGGTTCCGTCTCGAACCGGAGCACTTCTACCTTGTCGGAATACATGGTGATATTATCGCCGGCAATAACGATCGTCCCGTGCGGATTTGTTTTATGTTTGTGTCGCGGCGCGTCGTTGCGCGGACCGGCGAAAACGATCGGCGAGACGAGAAGCCGGAACAGTATTGTTATCGAGGGGAAGGAGAGAGGGAAATAGAAAAACCCAAACCGACGGCGTTACGGCGAAAACGACGACGTACCGACGACTGCACTGCGGCGCGCGCGGGATCGTTGTACGCCGCGGCGGCGGTGATCGATGCGGGGACCGGTAGTAACTGGTTTCGTTTTCCCTTCACAATGGATATTATCGTACGCGCCGACGACGAGTCACGGCACTTCGCGTCGGTTCCGGCGGCGTTCCTCGGACCGTCTGCGCCAGTGCGGCCGCGACGCAGTTGGCCTGCCCGGCGCGTTCGCACGTAACATTATCACGGCCGTAGGAAGGGGACGAGCCCCTCGTCGGTCGGTGCGTTTCGTCGCGGTAAGGCGCACGGCATACACGCCGGTTGTGTGTGCGGCGGGTACGTTTATTCCCGTATCGCCGTCGAAATCACAAATTTCCCGCGCGCGCCCATACGGGCCGGATTTTCAAACGGCCGGCGCGATTAAGACACAATAATATAACACGGTAAACAGTGACCGGCTTCTCTGGCGCGACTTGACCGACACGGTAAGACGAAACAAGTCGGATCCGAAAAAAGTCGATTTGAAGAGGACGCGGGTGTACCCACTCGGTCACGGTCGGCAGCACGTATACGAACCGGCGGTAAATGATCACTTGGATGGGAACTTGCTGTATTTTCACGAAACGTAAAAATTAACCCGGAAAATGATCGTTGATTTCTAAAATATTAATTTTGTTACGTCGCGTCGGAAAGTAGACGTTTTAAAATTTGTATTTTCTTATTGTGACCTATCCACAGGACCGGCTGGTTTGACGCCGGTACAAGCTGTGCACGTGCAAAAGAATATCGATTCAAACTTCAAAGTAATAGTAAAATTATAAAGATTTACTCGGAAAAACAAAAATCGGGGGGGAGGGGGGAATCGAAGCTATGCAAAATTGATTGCACATGTCCATGATAGGTATTTTCTAAGCTGGCCCTGATTATCCGACGTGGTTTTTCTTAACGAATCTAGGGATGTTTTTATTATTGAAATTCTGACACGAACTCACGAAACTGCAAGCCAGTGAAGGTGGCTTAAGTCCCGCAAACGGGGTAAAACAACGGTTTTTAAAATAAATTTTTATAGTCGGGAGGGGTGTTTAGATTCCACGATTTTACCTTCCATTATTTTATTTTATTGACTTTTACAACCACAAATTAGCGTATAACAGGGGACAATTTTGCGCCGTTAGTTTTAATATCAGAATAAATTGACCTATTATCAAACTTATAACAATATCTGTGAAAAGCTGGCGTTATTTGAAGCGAAATGCGCTAACATTATTAAATCGTGATATTTCACATACACGTTTACTCATAACCCTCTTAAAAATTAAAATATTGAAGAAATAGAGCAATATTGCATTGGTCTTATCTTTAAGTCAATAAACTTTTCTTTGTACATTCCAAAATTAGACAACTAAATAAATACTCATAGATAGTAACTGTTGTATCCGTAAGCTAATTGGAGGGGATATAACTCCGGTAACACACGCACCAATGGCGTAGCTAAGATTTTTTTTTAGGGAGGTGTTTTCATTTTGTGTTTAGATGTAACTTTGTAGCTTTATTGTGCACATGTAACACACATAACATATACTTAATAATTATCTATGCGTAATACAACACATCTTTAGAAATCTGATGCATGTAGTAAAAATTAGAATTGTTGGCATAAATATAGTCAAAAGGGGGTTTTTGAACACCGAAAAAACCCTCACTGGCACGCATTACTTCTTATATCCACCTAATTGATTTTCCGTCAAAAAAATGGTTGTACAACTGGTTTTCTGCGTTAGTTTTTCGCAAATTGTACGTCGTGATTTATTTTTATACGGTAAATCGCCCTCGCGGAATTCGAAAATGTTTATATACCTACTATTTTAATCAGAATTTTTCAAAGACAAATAAAATAACAACTCGTCGACTTCAAAATTGAAGGCGAAGTATAGTATTGGATATAAGTTATGCTATTCAATTCGTATGCTATTTTAACGAGAGGTTATCCAATATCCAATAATCGGGAGGATATCAACAATTAATAAAATGCGAAATATCAAATAAAATAAATTAATGGAACACAAAAAGTACGTTTTAGAATATTTCGCCTGATTTTGGTGGAAAACTATCATGTCCGTTGGCTACGGGTACAGACCAAGCGTCGTCGGGCGTGCTGCCAAAAATCAATTTTTATTTCTCTCTCGGTTTTTAATTTTGTTGTCAAAATTATACATACATAGTATTTAATATTTCCTGTCATTGGCCCTCGCTCGAGTTATCATAAAAGTAAAAACTTCATTAAGATGAACTTTGTGATGTCGGCTTTCGGCACTCTGCATTGTACATTTATTAGTTCACCGACGAATGACGACTTCTACGCGTTGTCGAGACGGACGGAAATCATTTGTCATTTTTTCATCATACTATTTTAATTTATATTATATGATTATAATTAAATATTCAATATTATAACGCCTTGAGAACAGTTAAAATAAAAAGAACACAACTTCTTTGGTTTTACAACATTTTTTTTTTTTTCTGAACCAGCAGCTGGCGTTCAAACTAACGTGTAAATAGAATAACGAGTCTACCGCCTGCAGTACACAGTGAACCTTATTTTGTCTTACTTTCCAAGTCTGCACAATCTAAATCACAAAAATGTTTTAAACATTTGAAAAAATACAAATACAAACATGTATATATAATTTAACACGGGTTGTAATGTAAACGCTGACTAACCTACTCGTGTATATTGAATTCTGTATTATTTACAAGCTATAACTCATTCTAATGTTTTAGTATTTAAAAAAAATTAGCTTTTGAATATTATGTCTGCATTAAAATCAAGTTTTAACGCGAGGACATTTAATGATTATTGATTACGAAAATACTGTTATTGTATAAAATGCCGTAAAAATTACTCGTTATTGAAACATGTGCAAGAACATAATATTATGGGTATAGACTATAGATTATACTATATGTATAATAGCAGTGGTGGATATTAGGAGGAGGGGGTGGGGGCATCGTTCCTCCCATTACATATTACATTTTCGTTACCACTATATATTATTACATACAAGTATACAACCTAATACTTAAGAAATTTTACCCCGTTACCACTGTTGATTTTAAATTCACTACCTCCATCAGAAAGTCAGAACTGGGAAATATCCACCGCTGGTTGACAAACGATGGTGTAAATAAATCATAAATAATAATAATTAAAAGTGAATTACATTCACAGATTTACTAAACGGTATGAAAAATGTTGAAAAAATATTTCAAAAAGAATTAGGTATAGTTTATTGGACAAATTCAGTTGGTATCACCAAACAATATTATAATATTATATTTATGTTTCGATCCTACGTGTTTTACCTACTTTGGACTCAGAAAAAAAAAATGATCAGAATAACCTATTTTTAATCGTTAGATCTATAAGTACGGTAAATAGGCCGCAACAGTGTAAATATTAAATACAAGTTGATTTTTCAGAAGTATTTTTACCTAATTTATGTGCGAAATCATATTTTTTTTTTCAAAAGTAAACTTTCACAGTTTAGTTTGTGCATTTTGTTTAGCAAAACGTTAATAGACATTGTTAACGAACTGAAAAAAAAAAAACAGAAACGGGCAGGTCACGTCGTGTTGAGCAGATAAAATTACATGTTTAAAAAAGTCTACGCCAGAAAAATTCAAGAGACAAATGACCACTAGGAAAGTCAAAGCTTCGTTGAGACTTTTCAAGTATCTTAGAGGAGAAACAGGTAAATATAGACTGGAAGTAGGTAGCGGTATATAAAATAGACCTGAAAAGAATTTGTTCAGTATTATGGTCTCAAAGACCTTTTTAAAATTAAAATAAAATTAATGGTAATTATTCTACCGATGATGACGTGAAAACGGCCGGACGTCATCGAAGATTAAGAAAATAACTATAATAATCATATTTAAATTTTAAAAAGTATTTAAAGAGGGCGTAGTCTAGGCGTGTAGTAATATTCGTAATTGATATTCGTGAACATAATTAATTAGGTAAGTAATCGATATGTTCAATATTGAAAGTAATATAAGTATAGGTATCGTTAAACTATGTATTTAAATTTGTATTTCGTGTACCTACATGGTATACTTTGGACTTAAAAATACTATTATCAGAATAACCGATTTTTATCGTCGGATCTATAAATACAATAAATAGGTCGCTGTAGTGTAATTATTAAATAAACATTAATTCTGCAGAATCGGATTTATGTGTAAATTCTAATTTTTTTTTTCTTAAGTAGACTTTCACTTTACTTTCTTGTACACCTGTCTAAAGTGCTGACTAAGTGCTGTGCACAAAATGTTTTTATTTTACAAACTTGTCTTGAAAAACCATTGCATTATATAAATAATTACGAGATCTAATAATATACATATTGGAACAGACCCGTTCGAGGGAGGAGCAAGACAGTAGGGGCTATAGCCCTAGAACTTGGGTTTCAAAGAGGGTCCAGGCCCGACCAAAGCCACCAGGTCCTATATTTTACCTAATTTTTACATTAATGTACAAATTATTTGTAGTTTAATTTCATAATATTTTACTAAAATATCAGTACACATTATATTAAAAATTAAATGTAATAATGATATAAAAATTACTTTGTAGCATATTATATGTGTTAGTTAATACTAATATATGATTTTAGATTCTGAGTGGAGTGAAGAAGTTTATAGTTTTACGAAAATATTTATTTTGTTTTTTTTTTTGTATCTGTGCGTGACTTTTCTGAAAAGAACTCCGTGTTGGGAAGTACTTTAGAGAAGTAATTTTTCGATTTTTTCAGGAGTTCTAGAAATTATTATCTGATTATTCTGAAAATGTTGACGTATCAACTCTTTATTTTCATAAAATTCGTAATTTAATAATTTATCTTCGGTTTATCTTTGTGAGATTATTTTCGAGCTGTTCCCAACTGTTTTCAGTGGTGAAACATTATAAGGAACAAAATCGATTTCCTGTCGCTGTTAAATTGGAGGAATATTTGTAGTAGAAAACATCGAGTTAATATAATAAAAACAATGAAAAAGGTAATGCCACGGTGTAAAAATGTTTCGTTTTACCTATACTTTTATTTCGGGTTTTTCCCAATTATTTCAAAAACCCCTCGGAAAATCGAAAAATGACCTTTTCAATAGATTCAATGAGAGAAAATTATCTTCTAGAAAAGGTGCTACAGTCTTCGGATCAAATTTTTTGGTAGAAAAGTTATTCACAGACATAAAAACAAAAAAAAAGTATAAAAACGATCATCATTGTAAAACCAATAGATCACTCGATACGCTTCGAATCTAATACATCCATCATCTATGATATTAAATGAAACACATTTTCGTATACAAATTATTTGTTTTATTATTATTATTATTAAAAAAAAGGCTTTTGCCTTGAAATCCCGAAATCCTTTTTATTAGTTAGTTTAATTAATATTAGTGATGGAAGTATTTTAATTTTATACATCATTAATTTATTACAAGTTTGATATAATAATTGGGATTGCACAATATTTGGAAAAAAAATTTAAACATTCGTACTAACTTATAAAAAAAAACTTAAAAAAATTAACGTAGACCGTTGTAATCGTAATTAGCGTCAACGTTTCCGCTTTGGGTTTCAAATTTAATTTTAGACCAGATAAAATTTCTCATATGGACGACGTGGTGCGAACTTTAGGAACCACTGTTATAGAGTAAAAACTAAATTTAAAAAAAAAATCTATAGTGGTGCACACCTATTATTAATATGTGATTGATGATTAATAGCCTATTAATCATGATACTTTATAATTTTTCATCTGTAAACATTATATATTAGACTAACTTTGGAATGTCACGGTCATATTTTAGTTCCTGTGTACAAACTTTCGGTATAATAATAGCGTCCGATTGTAATAATAAACGTTTCCAACAATCCGACAACCCGTATATAATTAAAGACGTTATTAAATTATTGTGAGTTGTGACTACCTTAGTTTAATGCATCGAACTCTTCCGTTTTCTTGCATGTCATAATAATTTTTGAAAAACGTTTAATTTTGTACTGCCTATTTAATATACGTATTTATGCGAAAACATGGCGATAAACCTTTTAAAAATCTATTACAATGTATAAATCGCATCCACTTAGTGAAATCGCTTTTTTCACAAAGTGGACATCCACTTCATGAAATGTATCCATTCAATGAAAATTACGTTTTTCTACACTATATGGACAATTTGTTGACCTTTTCATGAAGTGGATAAAATTAATTTTATTCACATTGTGTAATATATAAATATATATATTTTATGAAATAGGTATTGTATAATATTTTGTCACATTGTACATATATGCTTACTAAAAACGATTCTGAGCGGAGTTCAGTTAATAGTGATGTTTGTAAACAATATGTATATCATGGTAAAATAATTAAATAGGCATTATATATTTTCTTTAATAACATTTGTTTAATATTGTACCGATATTTCCGTTTTTCCTACGTTTTTCCTGGTTTTTCATATTTGCTGACCACTGGAACGTTTATACCTACATACTAAAATATTTTATGTTCACTGAATGTCCCATTGTCATTATGTTGTCACATGAAATCTTTACGTATTAATTTGCAGTCCATTTCATATAAATATAAATCAATCTTTATTTTTAGAAGTTGATATTTTTTTTTCATAAATTTACTAGGCCAAGGGTCAATAAGTTAAAAATTTTCATATAGAATTCCGGCATTCAGATGCCCCCCAAACATCTGCTGCCCGGGGCAAGTCCCCTTAAAACCCTTCGTCAAATACGACCCTCCTAAATGCATCCAAATTATACGCATATTGAAAGGAAACAATTTTACAAAAAAAAAATAATAATAATAATAATTTTAAATTAAATATTGGACTTATAAACGGCCAAAAGAGTACGGGAATATGTTTTAATATTACAAATCTCGAACATATACCTAATTAGTACATAAAAATGAATTTGTGATTTACTTGTTTATTAGAAATGTATGCTTAAATACTTCAAATAATGGAACAAGGTAAGCGTTTGTTAACCATGCTGGCCTACAAATGGGTAAATAATAGCGTAAGACGGACAAATAATTAGCATTCATACCGTTCTAAAGTACCTATACCTCTATATTTTATTTTTTTTTTAAATTCCTTCAATAATTTTCAACTACCGGTCTCAGAGCCAGACACTCGAAATTCCCCGAGTTCTATTACTTCGGATATAATAATATGTTCTGATAATAATACAAGTGATATACGATGGCTGATAATATGCTATTATGCTATAATAATAATATTATAAAAAATTGTGTACCTATTATAATACTGTGGTATAGTTAATCATAATTTAGGTAAACAAACTATAGTAGAGAGAAGGATTTGTGTCTTTTATTCACAGACTAAAATATGTGTAGTTTATACGATATAGTTAATGTAATAATGATAACATCGAATAGTATATTTTTAGATTCTGAGTGGAGCGATGAATATATTGGTTTTACAAAGATGATTATTATTTTACGTAGTTATTGAAAAACCGATAAAAAACTATATTAAACATATTATTATAGAGTTTATTTATGCGAAAGTATTTATAATATTAATATTAATATTATTATTCTATTAAAATAAATCAATGTAATTCAGAACCAGAAATGTTATATCTATCTGGAACGGAATAGTATTTGTCACGGTCATGGTTTCATAAAATATTTTATAATAATAATACAATGCGTATAGAGAATTTTTTACGTGCAACTCGTTAATACTAACGTGAAAAATGGCAAAATAAATATTTTCTAAATTTTAGTCGTTTTTTACCATATTATATTAATAAAATAACGAAATACTATTACTATTTTGATAACGTTTCACATGGTCTCACAGATCTATATAGCAATAAAACATTTCATAATAATTATATTTCAATAAGTTACATAGAATATGTTTTGCCTTAAATGTCTATTTAATTTAAATAGGTAAACTAAAAAATATAATTGAAGCATCGTTACTATAGTAATAATTCTATATTCTGTAAACAATTATAGCTATATAAAAAAAAGCATAATTTATTATGTTGATAATTTCTTAAAAGCCAGAATAACTATAAAAATATGATTAAATTTTTATCATTAGTTATTATGTATTATTATATTGTGCAAGGAACTCGTGTATTTGTGTATACGTATTATGTATTAGTGGTTCGTAAAGTTAGGTAAATATTGTATGGTAAATATACACAATACGTAACCATTCCTCTTGTTACTATGATCGTATAAAAATAGGCCATTGTTTAAAATTCTAAATGTTAAACGACGTAGTGTGTTAAAACTTAAAACATAATGATGATTTTTCCTTGTATTGAACCCGAACAAATAATTATATTTAAAACTGTTCGGAAGAATTCGTTTTTATGCAAAATATTAAGCTACGCTGTTTAGACGGTATAATAATATTATACACGGTTAAATAAAAGAGATAAATACCTGATGTTATTTGTTTAGTAATATTTTATGGGGTCGGATGGAAACTTTGTCTAATTAACTTTTACTAAAACGTAGATGAATGTTACTCAACATCCGTAATTTAATTCTATTTAGATATAATAGCTGCAGACAAATTAGTTATAATACAGTGGTATAAAATTACACCGAAATAAGGAGTAACTGCCAGCTATATTGGAACACTTGTATTATAATAAACATGTTAGAGATATTTAATTATGATTATGTATAATTTTACACGCAGTTTAAATATTGAAGTGTTGGTCAAACTGAACAATATTTTCCTTGTTTTTCAGTAATTTGTCGATTGAATTTCATGTTCACAATATACCCGTATACTATCTATGTCAAATTACCGATTATATGCATTGTATTCTACTGATTTATTAGTAAAATATATGAATCCTAAACAATTACGAGTTATGTTATAGCTGCGCATTGTTTATTTTTGTTCGTTTTTTTTGTTACAAATTCATATACTTTTTGATATTATTTATTATACATGCTTATCTAAAATGGCCGAAAATTGTTCGGAAATTGATGGAGTGACCTTGTCCTGTATTTAATGTAGCAGTAACAGCTGTAGCATTTACCGTTAATTTGTCATTTAAGGTTGGAGATTCGGAATAAAATGTTTCTTTTTTGCGACACATAAAACGTTTAAAATAAAATTCAGACAAATACCATTAACAGATTTCATGTGTAAAAAGAAAGACATACTTCGCACGTGGGTGTTAGGAAGTTGAGAAGATAGGATACAGAAGAGGATTTCATGTATATCTGTAAGCAACAATAAACCATTGCTAACGAAAAAAACGATTCTGAGCGGAGTTTAGTTATGTTATATTTCAGTCATATTATGGTAAAATAATTAAATGGTATTACACATTTTCTTTAATAATATTTGTTTAATATTGATCGATTTTCTCGTTTTTCTACGTTTTTCCTTGTTTTCCCTTTTTTTTTCTAATTTGTCCAATTTGTTGAAAAAAATGTTAAAATAAAAATAAAAAAAATAAACATCTTTGTAAAACCAATACATTCTTCGCTATAATTAGAATCTAAAATTAATACATTATTTTACGTGTATGGAACTTTTTATTATCAAATCAATATGTATTGTTATTATTTGTTTATTATTATTTATGGATTAACGAACTACAATACAACTAATAACTTTTTATTTTTTACTTATCAAAAACTGTTTTCGCGTACAGCAGATTGAGAACCGCTGATCTAGATAACTATTTTATCATTTGTTCCACACTTCAAACAATATAAATCTAATATTATTAAAAATAATAATATTATCAACTGGCTGCCTGTAAAATCATTGCCGTTTCACCCGGTAAAACTGAATATTGTTGCAATTAACATTTCGACGGAAAATCGATCAAGAGTATTACCACTAGTGATGTGCATATCCGGATAATGCATATAATTCAAGAAATCCTGATAAGAATTTGATTCAAATGCGGATTTAAATATCCTTGATAGTCAGATAATTCGGATTTCGGATTTGCGAGGCCGCAGTTCGGAGCTCTAATGATGTGGACTCCAACATTTTAAAGTTTTTCTATGAGATCATTTACGGCGGTAAAACCACTGTTAAATAATAATGGTGATTACAAATTTGTATTTGTGTCCGAATATTAAATAATATAAATAATCCGAGACATAACGTAATTCTTGTTCCTATCTGTTTTATGATTATGTTTAGAATGCTACCCCCACAAAAAAAAAATAATAAAAATAAATAAACATATTTGTAAAATCATACGCTTTTTCGCTCCACTCAGAATCTAAAATACAATAATGGATTTGGACATGGGAATTGTAGTTGTATTGCAAATATTATTAATTTTAGGTGTATAATGTTTAGGTTTTGGTTTCGTGCCCATCGCTTTTGTTAAAATCACAAATACTGAAAACCTTAAAGCACATTAAACACCAAAGTTAATTTTTACATTTATAGATGGTAATAGTTAACATCAAAAGAAATAAATCGTCATAAATTGTTATTATATTTCTTAAATGTTACATTTAATTCACAATTCATTCTATCTTTGTAATTACAATCTGTCATTCGATCTAAATGGTAGTATGATATATCATTTATACATTTATCTTCGGATATGCATCGGGTTATGCTGACATCATGGACGTTCACTGGAGGACAAAGGTGGAGATAATATATTCTCTGGCTTTTAAATACCGAAAAAAAATTACGTTAAAAACTCTTAAAATTAAAATGTCTTTAAAAAGCTCAAAAATGGCTCAAATGTTTTGAAAATTTTACTACGTTTCAAAAATACTACCTAGTATAAGTTTTATAAAAAAACGTATTCTGACCAAATTTCAAATCTATACGAACATTTTTAAATAAATTACAACAAAATAACAGTACATTTACTCGATTTTTCTACAATTTTTTCCTGGTTTTTATCAATTATTATGAAAACTGCTTGGAAAATCTAAAAAATAAACTCATTTAAGTACTAATCATATAAAATTTCCTTTAAGAAAAGGTGCTACATTTCAAAATTAGAGCAAGAATAGAGATAGAATTTTTGTATATATAGTATAAAAAAAAAATTATAAATAAACATCATTTTAAAATGAATACATTCCACGCTTCGTCCAGAATGTAAAATGATTTATGACCTATATGAATATGTGGATACGAGAAACACAGTAAAACACATTAAGAGATTACCTTGATATTATATTTGTTTTTTAATATTAGTAGTTTAGGTATACAAAACTAAACTTGACCATGAAATATATATCAGCATTATTATATAGATTACTTAGTTAACTTATTTTTTGTTTAATACTTTTGATTTTAAAAAAATTTAGCCTTAATATTTATAAATCTTATACATCTTTAAGTTTTGTTTTTTTATTTGTATTATACATGTATATATGTTTATTACATTTAATTTTTTTGTCATGGATATTATGCTGTTTCTATATGAATACGCATTTTTATTTTAAAATAACTAAAAACAACATTTTTTATAAGTAATAAGTTATACTTAAGTTCTATAAAATTAAAAATTATAAATCAAATTTTTATAATTTATATCTAGTTTAAAGATATATTTTGTTATAATCTTTTAGTTAAACGTTGAATAATATTATGAAAGTTTTAATTAATAAAATAAAAGCTAATTAAAGTCGTATAAACATTAGAATAAACAAAGTTTAAGATACATATCTAGGTTGTAGTTCAATAATTGTTTTTTAATTTATTTATCTACTACTTAATTACGATATAAAATATATTTCATACAATTCATAAATTCAAACAATATAATTGTATAGTTTTTATTAGAGTCGTTCTTAGTAATAAACTCTCCCTGTAAAAAGATATCAGAATAGCCCCACATTATCTCTACATGTCATAAGAGACGACTAATAGAGATGCGTACAGTTGACAGCTGGTGTTAAATTCTGTTAAACAGTATGATAAGTGCTCAACAAAATTTTAGTGGATTGTCTCATCTCAGATATGCAAGGGGATTACGGACAACAAGTGAAAAGAAGTACCAAGGTTGCATGATTTTTTGCAGAAGATAAGACTAGCTTCAATAAGAGAAAATCTGGAAAAAGTTAACAATAGGAATGCAGAATAGAGAGCAACATTTGAGGAAAAGAGACTAAGGGTAAATAGAAGTAAAACAGTGTATGGATTTGCAGGAACAGAACAAGACAGCTAATGATAATAAGTGGATACAGATGAAATTGAAAGTTTTAAGTACATATGGACTTTGTACAATAAAACAGTGGTTTTCATGAATATATGAATTATAAGATTAAGTACAATTGAATAAAATGGATAGAAGCGTCAGGTGATTTATGTGATAAGAGAATTCCAATAAGACTTAAAGTTAAGTTCTACAAAAGTGAAGTAAGACTGACTATATTGTGTGGTTTGGTATGTAAGGCCTTAGATAGAAAAATAGAACAGAAAATGAGTGTAGCAGAGATGAAAATGCTTAGATGGATGAGTGGAATAATGAGAGAAGATAGGATAAAGGGATGAGTATATAAGAGGGAGCTTAGACATGACTTCGATAGTAAAACAAATAGAGATAATAGACTGAGATGACTTGGACATGTTATGAGGAGAGAGAAATCTGATGCAGTAAGATTTGTTATAAGAATAAACGTAGGAGGAAAGAAGTAGAGTAGAAGACTAAAAAGGAGATGATTTGATACGGTTGGGGGTGAAAAAAGAATAACCGGTGAATGCGAAATTGCAAGGTGGGAGAAGATGTAGAAAAAACTATTAGTAATAAACTAATTATTCTTCTTCTTCTTCATTTAAAATATTTGATGTCAGCTACCATTTTCCTAAATTTCCATTGCCCTGATCACCCATCTCACATAATTCATGATTAATAATCTATATACTTAACCTTACAAAATAAATTTCATCATAAGGGTTTTTAGTTAGGCAATTTGTATTAGATGAACTCATAGCTGTCAATATGTTAGTGTACTTGAGCATAATACGGTGCTTAATATTCATACTGATTAGTACACTATTAATATTTAAAAAAAAGGAAATTCCTACTTGCTATTAAAACGTACTTTAAAATATCTACACAGTATAATTGTATTAAAATCGAAAATAAAAAAATCAGAGCAACTTTGTACCTGGGTGCATCAACTGCTGTATATAAAAAGTTGGAAAGGTAGTAAAAGGTAAATTAAATGTATATCTGTAAGTAAAGATAAACCATTGGTAACGAAAAAGCGATTCTGAGGGGAGTTAAGTTAATAGTGTTGCTTTTTCAACAATATATATGCCGTATTATGGTAAAATAATTGCATAGGCATTATATATTTCTTTAATAATATTTGTTTAGTATTGTACTTATTTTCCGATTTTTCCTACGGTTATCTCATGTTTTTCCCGGTTTGTCTCATTGATTGAAAAATTTCCCGGAGAAAATCAAAAAAGACATCTTCAGAGTACCTTTCTAGTCAAATTTCTTTTTAGAAAATGTGCTACACTTAAATATCGGAGTAAAATTTCTGGTAGAAAAGTTGTCCACAGAAAAAAATATAAATAAACATATTTGTAAAACCATAAGCTTCTTCACTCCACTCAGAATAAAGAATATAACTTTCTTAAACAAAAATTTGTTTATTAATAATTAGTATAAAAAAGATAATTGAGAATTACACCACACAGTAAACATTATATAGGATACTGGCTATATTATAATGTACCGAATTTTTTTAAACACTATATGAAATTTATACACAGGATAGATTACAATTTTTAAGTTATATGAAAATTTGTTTAATCGATCAAAAAAAATATTGACATATAAACGAAAAACCATTTAATTTTAAGGTTTTACACAAATGATCAAATTGAAAAAGTTCGTTGGGAATTTTAGACATTTATCATTACCAAATAATGGCCTTATGTACTCAGGAGGTAGTACTTTAATGAAATGTGTTGTACATGATAGGTAATGTTTAATTTATCAAAGCACATATTATAAATCAAAAACAAATTAAAAACTCTGAATCATTTTTTATTTTTTTTAGAGCGTTTTTTACAATTCGAAGGACATACTTTATAGTAATGATGACAAACATATTATATTCTGGTAAATAATTTAACGTCAATAACTCAGAAAAAAATAGTCACAGTTTTATTAAAATATTGAAATAACTATATGAAAAAAAAAAATGTACAATTTGCATTAAAAAAGAAAAAAGATTTTTTTATACATTTGGAAGTAAATACACGTATTTCATAATTTTTTTTTTTTTTAAGAATGTATATAAATTAATTTCATCTTTCTTATACATAAATTATTTAAATGCCTACTTAATACAACCATGTATAATAGGAATTTAATACTTATTTTAATATATTTTACTATTAAATTATTATATTATTAAATCATTATTATCATTACGTTACCAAAAATAGTTATTATCTACTGATAATTGTTCATAATTCTAACAACACCAATTGTAATTCAGTGATGTATTCCATTCATCTCTTAAGGGCGGGGGGAGGCGGAATAACCTTAGGTGAATACTTTTCATAATAAAATTCAGGCCTGAATCTGATCAGGACAATAAACGACAACCATGAAAGTTGATAACACAACTTTAACTACAGCGGTGGTTTTAATTAATAACTTTTAAACCTACAAATATTTACAAACGTTATTATTTATAGTTAAAAATTAAACAAAAATGCACAAAGACTAATTTAAGTTACCTATAATGAAACCGAAATATTTAAAGAGGATGACCACAATGTCCCTTCCATAAACACCAAAACTGCTATAATGAGGTTTTCGCAAGAGAGTTTTACAAAGCTTGAATTTTTCATAAACTGGTCTTAAATATTGTTATGAATATTTTAAGTTTAAAATTATGTATAAACTTGAAATTTATTTTCAATAATGATAGACGACATAATAATAACCTTAAAAGCTTGTACCTATTGAATAAAGTTAGTTTTATTCACTCTTGTTCTTGTAAACATATGTATAATTGTGTAGTAAAATTTTTGAAACCATGAAGCAGAAAATGTACTTGAAGACTTTTATGTAACTATAGAATTTCTATAAAATATAAATGTACTTATACCATATACTTACATATAATTTGTACATTAAATTAGGAACTTTAATCCAGTTCACAGTTTTAAACCATTTCTCAGTTTAGTACAAATTTAATTTTGGACAGTGATAATATTTAGTGTCTATGAATTATGGTTATAATATGTGACCAAATGTTTTAAAATGATAAAAACTATTTAAATTAACTATTAAGGTTGTTACGTTTTTATTTTAATTTTTTTATATTCAGTAATTTTATTTTTTTAAATGCTGAAACATAACAATAATAATATGAAACATATTATCTTTTAAATATAACTGAATTTACATAAATAAAAATTTACCAAAGAAATGATACAAGTAAATGCATATTTTGAGCTTGATTATCAAGTTTGAGTACCTAAGTAACACTGGGTGAAATATAAATGGTAAATATAAATACTGTAAAATTTATTGTAGGCATAAATACAAATATACAATACATATTTCTTATTGTAACTTGTTTACAATTCTATAAATTATTTTAAATAAAAAAAACTATATTTTTGTAGCATATTTTCATGTTTAAGGAATATTAAGAGAATATTTTAAGGTTTTTTAGAACATATTATCATCATACACTAAACTTTTAAGAACCTAAAAATCCGCCCTCTAGCTATAACAGTTAGACAGCTGAAACGTGAAGATTTCTAATCGTAACGGAAATAGACATCACTTTTTATAATAAATTCGCTAAAATAATAATATAAAAATTGTAGTAAAATTACACTGTTGTAAATGTTGAAATACTTGTTAGAATTTCGCATTTGAAATTTTAATGTCAATCGTGATTTTGCCTGCCAGACAGGAGAAAAATGTAGAAATCTACATTGACGGAGAAAAATGTATTCGATTATAATTTATAAAAATCACTTTATATAGTTTTTAAACAATATAATACCTTGTTCTAATCATCAATTTCAAAGGTGATTTTCTAGTAGAAAATTTTGACTAAATGTTGGTTTTTTTGAAATATCATTTTGGTTTGATTATAATAACAATACAAATAATGGTTTTGTGGTTTCTAAATAAAAAGTATTGCACAAATTACGTTTTCTACATTCGTTTGGGATTTTTTTGTTATTTTTAACAATAGAAAAAGTTTCCATTCAAAATAATTGCGGTTTACCAATTGAATGGGTTCAAGACTATTGCTTCATAAAAATACGATCTTAGCAACAAGTTTAATCAAAGATATTTGATTTTACTTTTTACGATTTCAACTCAGGAAATGTATTAAGTAAATTGTTTTTCAAGTATATTATTGTCTTTTACATAGCATCATTAAATTGTTAACTATGTACGTACTATATTATACTAATAAATGTTTCTTCGCGTGTTTGCTACATTACCATTAAAAATAGTATTAATTTACTGCACGATTGACACGAAACACGATCTCTAGAATAATATATTATACGTAAAACCGCGAAGTTGACAAAAGATAAAACTATAACAATGCCTACTTCTTTATAATATAGTAATCTTAATAGTCATGAAAAAATATTTGTATACTTATTGTTTCATCGGTAATAAAGATTATACAGTTTATAACTACGATTAAACTTTTAAAAGAAAAAAAAAACGACAATAATAAAGGTATATTTTATATTTGAAGCGTAAGCCAAAAAAAAAAAACAAACTAAAAACAGTAAAAAATGTTTATCTACCTATTTGGGCTTAACGTATACGGCAGAAACTGATTCAGGAATTATTCAATGGGGAGGGGTAGTTAAAATGTATACAGTACCAATATTATTCTATAGGGAACAGTACAATGCATTATATTATGCTGAAAGAAGAGGGGGGGTTATTAATACTCGATTATCCCCAGTGGATCCCTCACTAGCATATACGATTAAAATATTTGGTGATCAACCACAGTTAAATGGACTCGGCGATGCACGGGAAGATGTATTTAAATGTATATTTATAACTGTTGGCTTCCACCGTTGGACGATAACCGTTGATGGGTAAGGGGTAAGGGAAGACATGCCCCCCTAGAAAAAATAAATATCACAACAATTGATTTTTGTTATTAATTATTTAAATTAATTTAAACAATTATGTAGGTACTATAAACTGTAGATAAACAAGTATTTAATGCATCTAAATCTGTAGTTTAAATAATATTAATGTTTTGTAGGCATTGGACTTTATACTATTATTTGTATATTTGCAATCCCACGGTTACCTTGTTGATAAATGTTTTGGAAAACCTGATTTTAGTTTGTTCTCCCGGACAGAAAATTACTTTCTGGACTCACACAAAATTAACATTTAAATATTATCCATACATTTTAAAATATTATTCTCATAATCATTCAGGAGTGGATTTGATGGAACCCGACCCACTATTCTAGGTATACTACACTAAAAAGTTTTCAGGATCTTATTTATTTATTTTTAAATATCGATATATATATATATATTGTTCAATTAAAGTTGAATTAATAAAAAAGCGTAAACGATTAAAAGGTTTGTGAATGTACAATTATTAAAAATAAGTAATATCTCGTAATTAATATTAATACGAATTTAAATGTTTGTCGTAAATAATTAATATATTAATGTATAATGTTGCGTATAATAGAGAAGATTGAAAATCGACTGCAAACCAATCTTCAGATTTAAACCATAAAGAGAAAATTAATATGTCAATAATAACGTAGAATGAAAGCATATCATAATATAATATTATAATCAATATGATTAAAATTTGGTGTAATATGGAACATAAAATGTGATACTTTAATGTAGTATATGGGTACCTATATATTAACTTTATCATCCTCTGATTAATATTTCTAGTAAATATATTTTGAGTAAATACAATATAATATGTAATATATAATATATATCCAATTATGGTATATTTTTATTTTTAAAATATTACCTTTTTTTTCCAATTAAGAAATTCATTGTTTACTAAATTTTGTATTTGTTGTGTCCGTAGCATTAATGAATCGACGAGTCTCAAGAAATAAGTATATGCAAAAATTAATAGGTAATCATGGGTCTATATCACGATGCAGATAAAATGTTACAAAACTTATGCACAAAGTCAAAAATCACACATAACAAATGAAACAATACAATTATTTGCTATGAAGTCTATAAGTCTATATCTATAATTTGTATTTAATCTTAATATTTTATAAAATTATTGAAGTTTAATTAATATAATATAGATACAAAATAAATGAGACTTTGATGAGTTATAAGATTTTTTTTAAGTGCTTTTAAGATTCCTCGTATAATAATATGAAAATATACAGTTAATAATATGATATCAGTTTTTTTTTTTACCCTATTTGTTGTAACTAAGTAATGCACTCAAAAAAGAAATGTATCAAAGTATAAAATACTATAATATATTATAGCCAGTCACGTATTTTAAATTTTTTTGTTGGGGGAGCGGATTAAATTTTTTTAAAAAATAAGTGATTCTATAATATTATTTCCGAAATAATTACTGGTTCATGATAAAAAAAATCACCTCGTATAAATCAATGTTCTATTTCTATATACCTTCGTAGCAAATAATTTATGATTTTTGAACCATATTTTTTGTTTGAGGGACCGATACCCCTTCCCCCAAAATACGCCGCTGATTATGGCTATATATATATATATTATATACACCTTGCCCCCTGGTGGAAATTTCTGCGGGCGCCCTTGTCAAAATGTTAATTATAATTATAATTTATTGTATCATTAATAATAGGTGTAATGTATTTTTAAAGGAAAATGTTATTATACATTGTGTATTTTGAATTTGAAGCAGGGGATTTATTTTGGACACTTTAAACCTATATGAGGGAATAATTTAATAAAAATATTTTCTAGGAAAAATCAACTAAATCACTTGATCGCAACATCTAAACGTGCCTCTGAGCCTTAACTACACCACTGACAGTTTTATTATTTTGTGTAAACATGTAAACTTACCTACTATATTTATTAATAATGTACCTAGGATGAAGTTTTTACTACCATCGAATAAATTAATTATATTCAATCGTGGTCTTAGACCACTGTAATTCTATAGAGATAAATGAGTGGAAACTGGACAGGATAAACGACCTTCTTCTGAGTAGGTATTATTATACATTTTCAACGATTTGTAATCACGTTACATGGTTATAATACCTACAAAACAATAGTTTATTAAACCACAAAATATGGGTACCATTCTATTTATATTAAAGTTATTTGGTACCTAAAAAATAAAATCAATAAATTCGACGAAAACAATACGTTTAGTATCTTCGCGGAATATTTCGGCAATTACTAATCACAAAAATATTCAATTTACATTAAACCCGATACCCGAATCGATTATATATTAGTAAGTGTACAAACTTAATTTTTTAAAATTCCATTTGTATGCAATCCAATAATACATACTATTAACAAAACTAGACATCGACACGTCATGTATAATACGTATGGCCTCGATTTTCTACACATCCGCTACAACTACAGTAAATATTTACTGATGGTTATACGCTGATTTGCTCGATTGCGGCCCGAATTCAGGTAGTCATATTTTATCCCAAATATAAGTATCCAGATTGCGTCCCAAGACACATTGGTTCAAAAATTAGCGTATATAATCGTATAAATAAATAAAATACAATTTCATATAAATATACATGATAAATGTTTATGTTATTAACATTACAATTGCTATTTAAACATATCATAGAAGTCGAATTATTACAATTTACAGTAAACATGTAATATAAATGTATAATTATTGTCAAATTAGAATTGCACAAAATATTTAAAAAAAAATTATTTATATAATGTTAATGGTTGATTTAATTGTTGTTTTCTTATCTTTAATATATACTAGAAAACACTATTCACAACGAATAATGATAGATCGTGTAAATGCACTGTACTATATTTTATATGAAAATACTTTGGACGCGATCGGGATACTTATTGAGTTTGAATAACCACTGAAAACGGAATTTCCTACCTACTTTGCTCGGACCGCAATCGGGATGTGAAAAAGTAAAAAAAAGGTCACTCTGGGCCGCAATCAGTCGACGCCCGTTATGCATATGGGTAGCCGGTAGCTTATCATCTCCCGCGGTCGATAATAAGAGAGTTTTATCGGGATAGATTTAGTTGGTGCGGTGTTTCGATAACGCTAAAAGCGGTCGAAAAAAAACGCGGCTATCTTTTTCAATATATTGCAGGACCGCTGTCAATTAATACCTACGTAATAACGTATAGGTAACGGATTTTTTTTAATCTCATCACTCCGAGAGAACTGGGATGTCACCGTTATTATAATATACGTCTTTGGTGATAACTATAAAATTATAAGAAATAGGTAAACTTAAAACGCTTCAAACGTCATAACTTCACGATTTTCGCACGGCTTATCTATTTATCATCAGAAGTTATTAATACACTATAAACATTAAATACTACGTAGGGGTAGGACGTAAGTTTGTGTATACATGGACACATTGTATTTGTGTGACAATGTTTAGTAGGTATATTTATGTATACATTTTATTGGTAACTTATTACACAATCAATATGGTTTAATAAATTAGGTACTGATAGTATACGCTTTTAATTTATTACATTTAATTCAATAAAAAAAGATCGTTCAAATTTAGCTTTTTTTTCTCCGAGCGACGTGGTTGACGAAGGGTTTTTATGTAAGGGTATAGTATACATCATATATTATGGCTTTAGCGTATTATGAATGTCACTGGAAAATGGTACTATAGTAATACAGCGAAAAAATAAATAAACAAATTTGTTTTTATTATTGTTTTTTTTTCGCAAACGGCCACCGTCGCCGTGGTAACAACGCGTATAACATATACATTGTTGAATTGTTGAAAAAAATAGCGTTTCGAGTAAAAACTATGCTAATACTTTTGCGTATTACTCAGACTATAATCATCCGATCAACTTGGCAATATTCAAAAGTATCATCCACTGAACATACTGATCGACCCGTGTAAATTTCAATCAATCGGTTCATTAGCACATAAGCTACAAATAGATCAGACCATAAATTTTGTCGTAAAATTACACATGTTAAATAGGAGTTGGCCGTCTATATACTACGGTCGACGTACGAGCTCTTCACTTTTTTTTTTACTTAGCTGTGCGCCGCGACCGCTGGATTTTCTATATGAAATACAAATAAACAGAAACTTATGATATCTCATACACCGTATTATATTATATAATTATTTTTAGAATACAACACATTTTAGATTTTGAATAAATATACAATAAAGGATAAATCCAAGTTAATTGTTACGTGGCGGGACAGGGCCGTAGACACGGGGAGAGGTTAGGGGTTCAACCCCACCTTACAACACGGAAAGTGTGTAAATGTATTACTATGTATATGTGGTTTTTTTTTTAATCAACTATAATGTGTAAGTTTTATGATAACCCCCCTCCCCCTATACACAATTCCTGTCTACGGCACTGTGGGGATCATATATTTCGGAATAAAGGTGTGTACCTTAAACAGTATTTACGACTACGCCCCACTGTATAATATTGTCATCATCGCGGGTGAACCATGACAAACGAAACCGGGCGCATTACGGTAATACGCCGCGGCGCGAAAACGTTGGTGGCCCGGCGAGTACCCAACACGGGTACACTAGCGGGCAGACCGGGCGGCGGCGCGTTAAATTCGATTTTCGTCGAACGGCACACGTCGGCGGTGACCGAATAATTACGTCAACAGAGACGTCTGGTACCGGCCGCGTGGACGGATTTCAACGCGCCGCGCCGAAAAAATACCGGCGGATGACTCCGCGGTGGCGCGCGTATACGTCACAACCGGTTTTCACGATGAGCGGCGGCGCATCCATGGGAACCGTCCGTAAAGACAATGAAACGCGGCAGGCACACCGAAAAACCGAGTGCGCTATAGGGTCAAATGCATTCTTCACCTCTGCAGCGGCGTTCGATTTCCAGGTACTTTTCTCTCGTCTCGCGCGCGCTGCTACTCGGTTCTTTTGTTAACGCGCGCGCTCGCGCCGTGTCTCCCACACGCCGGGCCGCCCAAGGACGAAATCGTATTCCGTCACGACCGTACAGTGCCGTACAGTATACACAGTGTACCTCAGTCTCTCTCTCTCTCTCTCTCTCTCTCTTGGTACGCCGCGACAAAATGTTTTTTTTTTTCTCATCGACAGCCCGCGCCAATTTTACGTCCGGTATCACGTATAGCATTTCGGTACGGGCATTAACCGCAAGTCGCACAACTTTCGGATCAAAATCATTTGTACATAGGTGTACCGAAAATCGCTATCGTCACAATCCATCGCGAACCATCATCATCGAGACACCGTTTATAACTCGGGTTATATACAAACACCTATTATACCAACCGCGGTTCATATTGACATTATCATATTACTATGTATACCTTGTATGTTTATGAAAATCGACAAATCGGGATTGCATTGTTGCGGCGATAATGTGTTGCGGTAGTTAGTTAATTGGTAATACCGACGGGCGTTTCATTTTTTTTCATAATACGAGGGGACGGACGTTTTCTACGGCTACGACTACGTAAGGCCCGTTTCCGAGCCGATCCAACAATCCGACTAGTCGGAAGAAAAATAAGACCGTGTACATTATCGGTAGTGGCTATACTTGTCCGACATGCCCGTTCAGAAGAGAAACAAGCCGATTTGATTTTCTTCCGACAAGTCAGACAAAATTAAATTGTTTGGGTTAAATAATCGATAATTTATAATCAATAATCATACGTTTTTATGCTTATTCGAAAATATTCTTTAAACTTATTACGATATTCTCGAAGTTTAATACACGTTTTAAAACATTCCCCATTTTTACAATCTTTTAATAAATTAAGCGTCCAACGGGACCTTGTAAATTTAATTATAATATTTCACTATTCAGTAAATCGTCCCATTCGTCTTTTGAGCTGCTAGAACTTAAATACATATTGGATAAAAAGCACCAATGCATATGTGAACTCTGTCAATGTAGATAATAAGTGCACGAAGTCTGTACGAAATCGAAAATAATGTAGACACAAATATCGGATGAGTAGGATGTTGATCGAGTCGGTCGAATGGGATCGGATCGGAAACGGCTTTAAAGTAGCCGTAATCCATCACGTTTCTCATGAATAGGAGGGACTCTTTTCCGTTCCTGTATTTGAAAAGAAACGCGTTCCTTTCCAATACTGAATTCATAATAATATATCTCGTCGTCTTGCCGATGCCGATTCGGTTTTTTCTCCTTCAACTACGACGATTTCAAATAAATAATCTTCATCAAAATTAGAGCTATTCGGGGCCTTGGTAAATTACCATATACACGTACGCTTAAATATCGATTTAATAACATAGTGCCATATTTTTATCATCCCATCGTATTAGATACATTATAAAATAATTGAAAAATAAGTGATGTATTATGTAGCAACAAACTGCATATAACATATGTATATTAACCGACAACAGTGTGAGTATCATCAGGCGATCATTCCGCATATTTTAACGTATTTTATCATCGAAGTATTTTTATTAACTGAAAAACTGCGAATAATTTTCTAATTTTTATCATTTCTGTTTTTTTATTTTTTTTATCACATTTTGTCTTGATTTTCACGAGCTCCGATTTTAATTATATATTTAGTGAATTGGACACTGATTGAGTGGGGAAAAAAATTAATAAAAACTGTTTTACAAGATATTTTATTTAAGTCGAGTCCATGGCTGTGATTAGTGACACATTCGACCTTGTATTAGAGTCGAGGTTGTCCACGCCCTTATAATGATCATTTACAACTAAATACTAAGTACCAATACAGTAGCAAAAATTATCATTAAATATAATATAATCTATAAAATAGATAACAATATTTTAGATTCCGAGCGTAGCGAGGGGAGCTATTGGTTTTACAATGCTGTTTATTTCTTCTTTGTTCTAGTCTGGACACGTTTTTCACAAGTAAACTTGTTGCAATTTTATGTATAGCAATTTTCCTGAGAGCTCAAGACTTTAAACTTGATAATAATACTTATATTAGACCTACCTAGATGTAGTAAAATTGTCAAAATCATCGGACAACTTTTAAATATTTTACAATGGCACTTTATTTTTTTTTTATACTGTAGACCACTTTTATTTTAGAAGACTTGCTCCAATGTGTAAATGTAGCACCTTTTCTGAAAGTCAATTTTATCTACTTGGTTAAATACATAAGTCTTTTTTGATTTTCGAAACGGTATTTAAAATAAAAACGATTAACCGGGAAAAAAATACGAATTTTTCACGATTTCGTTATTTTCAATAAGCACCCACCACGTTTTCTAACACAAATACGACTCTACTTGAAAAACGACAAGAGGCCTTTTTTGTTGTATTATTAATCTTGTTTTTAAATAATGTAGTTCGTTTTTTTAAATTTTTTAATTAGATTTCATAATAATCGGGAAAAAACGTAGGAAGGTTAGGTTAAAAAAAATTACGGCACTTCAAATTATGTATTACCGAACTGCACTCGGAATTGTCTTTCATTAGTAATGGTTAATCGTTGCTTACAGATATAAATGAAATAACCTTATGTATCCTACCTTCCCAACTTCTCATCTACAACAGTGGCCGCACCCATCCCCAATATCAGCTCTTTTTGATTTTTGTATCATTATGAGGCTCCGATGCTGATGATATAAATATTATAATATTATACTATGAATGTTATACCTACATATACAAATATATATTATTTAACAATAATATTAGGTATGATCAACAAGTTGTATAAATTAATAAAATACTCATTCTGACAGTTAGGTAGATTACATATTTATTTCATTCATAATTCATGAATCATTACCATACATCATTGCATAGGTAATAATATTGTATTGCCAAAGAAAAATATTTATAGCATTACAATTAGTAACATATAACTGCTATAACCAGTATCCATACATTCCTATATTATATCCCGACTATCTTTATTATATTTAAATGTAATTTGTATTCGCTTACCTATTACCTACGTATGTTTATTTATTTTTATGGTTTTACCATAATGTGTTTTTATTTTTTGTGTCTGTATTCTGTAAACAACTTTTCTATCGGAAATCTTGCTCCAATCAAAACATTTATAGGAATTTGTTTACAGAATTGTTAATCTAATCAGTACATTGAAGAGGTTTTTTTTTTATTTTCCATACAGTTTTTTGAATAAACGGGAAAAGATGGGCAGGTCAAACAAATACAAGCTATACAAACCACCATCCTTATTTACAAAAAAAAACTATCATATAACACTCTTAATTAATATTCAAATTATGTACCAATTCGATAAAAAATATGGTTCAGATACCCATCATGGATCCACTACCAATCACCCATTAAAAGAAGAGTGACGACCCTGACTATTGGTATTACGGCACCACTGGTCAAAATAGTTAAAAATTTAGACCAAAGGAGTAATGAAGAGAATAGTATGTATTTTAAGATGTTAAATTGATAACCTTTTCCTACTCCTCCCGTCTAACCTTTAAACTGTTATAACTCATAAATGGTAAATCCGAAATTAGGGATATTAGTGTATGCCTATCAAATTATATAAAAAAAATATTCTCTATTTGAATCCGTATTCAAAAGAAGGGGATTGATATTTAATAACTCGAAGTGTATACTCATTTCAGAAATAAGAAATGGAGATAAAAAATTTAAAATATTTTAAAATAAAACTTATATGATTTACATGATTATTAAAAAAAAAGGACGAACATACTTCACGCATTGCTGCAACCACTGTTAAAGGTGAGAAGTTGGAAAGGTAGGATACAGAAGGGAATTTAATGTATATTTAAAAGCAAAGATAAGCTATTGCTAACGAAAAAACGATTCTCAGCTAAGTTCAGTTGATAGTGTTGCTTTGTCAACAATACAATGCATGGTATATGTCATATTATGGTAAAATGGTTGCAATAATGTGCGTTTCCATGACAACAATGATTGCTTAAAAAATATTAAAATAATAAAAACTTAATAATAACAAAAAATTAATAAAAACGGTTGCCAGTGACAACTTTATTTTTAACCTTTCAATCTTTTTAAACCTAATAACCAAGGTTATCCTCATTATCTAGAATATTAATGAAAATTTCAAAAAATGATCTTTTTAAAGTATCATCCAGAGAACATTTCCTTTCAGAAAAGGTGCTAAACTTGATAATCATAGTGTGCTTTCTGGTAGAAAATGTGTTCACACACACACACAAAAAATCTCTGGGTGGTACTTTAGAGAAGTCATTTTTTTAAAATTCTGATAATATAACATATTCTATATATTGTATTGTTGACAAAGCAACACTATCACTATCACTAACACTGTTCGATTTTTTCTAAAAATGAAAAGTGATTTAAATTAAATGTCTTACATAAAGTGTTGGTTTATTTAAAAACGAAATGCTAATTGTCCCAGGTCACTTACTAATTTATTTTAACTTTGAAGAGACACATTTAACTTTGATATCCATGAAAAATGCCATATCTCTTAAATAATTAAAATTTAAAAGTTGAGGAAAACTTTTATTTTTTTTTCTATTAAAAATATTTTGATATTATCTATACTATATAATATCATTAGTGACGTTAGTTGCTAATTTAGTATTAAACTATTCGATAGGTAGACAAAAAATTATTCGAAATATTCGATAGTTTTCCGAAATTAAACTATTCGTTCATCAAAAAAAAAAGAATTCGAATGAAACCATTCGATAATTTATCAAAACTATCAATATTATGTACTATATTTAGAATTGTTGAAAGTGCTATCACTAAATATTACAATTTACCAAGCAATTTAAAAAAAAAAATATACCGAAAACTTTATTATTCGAAACACATAGCGAATATTGTAATATTATATTCGTTTTTTGATGATTAGTATACATGTATTGTTCCTTTTAACGAAACAATAAAATCATTAAAAAAAAAAAAAATTAGTCATAAGTTCATTGAAACGAAACAGAATTAATGTATTTTGACGTTAAATATTTCTGTACATCATTTTTTATACTCGATATAAACCGTGAAAACTGAAGATCAATTACAATTATTACGAAGTCGATTATATAAAAATATGTTTACAATTATATGTCAACAATATTAATATATTAACGACGCACATCGGAGTAAATAATTATTTACATACTGCATGCATAGCATTATACTTTTACTTAGTCGGCGTATTTTTATTTGCTTATCGGTCTAAAACTACAGCCCGCATTGGTTTTCCAGTTGTCATAATACCGAACACCTATATACCTATAAGTATATTATTATGAAACACGCATGTATTGTATATATGCATATAAAATAATATATACACACGCGTAAAAAATTAATGATATTATGAAACGTGGGTATATTTTACAAACTTTTTATTGATACTTTAGATTTTCAAATGTCTATTATAGTACCTATGCCTGTATAAAACTTTATACCTAGTCATAGGCGCAAATAGGACCTTCCCTCCTATAGGAGAAGTGTAGGAAGAATTACCTTCTAAAAATTCAACCTAGCTCACCCGAATGAAATCCTTTTCAAGTAAAAATACTAAATATACATTAACAATATTATGAGATGTTGAGCCCCTCCTTAAAATATTTAGGTTATTTGAGCCTATGTAGATAGTTACGTACATAGTATAACAAACGCAGGAATTTGGACAGCTGGTATAGAGACTTGTTCGCTCTCACGAAATTTCAGCAAAATGTATAAATATGATTTTTTTTGTTTTTATAAAAACTCTATTAAACTTTTTTTACGAAAGCGATAATATTAATTTGAATTTATATTGATTTTCCTCGTTTTTATAGATACTTAGATATTACTCATATAATATATTGCAATATGCATATCAACAAGAGCGTACCCAAGATTGTTTTGAACACAATAATAAATTATAATTATGTGTGTGGTTTTCAATTATTTTTATTTCATAAATTAAATGTGAAATAAAATCATATCTAACTACACAAGAATATATTTTTGGCTTAAATACGACTAAAGGATGAAATGGAGAGTTTTAACACTCAAAACACCCCTCCTTCCTCCTGGTTACGCGCCTTTTGCATAAATTCTGCATGTATAGGACACTGTTGTGGGTGATGGGTAGTTGGGAAGGTAAGATATACAATATGCTGTAGGTAAGCAGTGATAAGCATAGAAATACTAACGAAGTTTTGAGTGAGCAAAGTTGTATAAGTTTTGTTTATTCCCTTATTGCCAATAAGGAAATCCAGAAATCAACAAAAATCAAACAACAAAGTGATCTAGAAGGGAATTCTGAACATTACATGTTTAAAATAAAGTACCATCAGTCAGAAATTCCGTATCTTTTGAGCACATTTTAGAACATTTTTATTTCCATTTTTCGAAATTTCAAAACATTTTTTAAATAAAACATACCATAAAGGAAAAAGTTCACATCTTTCAAGGTATGACATGAAAAAATCAGAGCGATTTTACTAATCGTTTTTCGAGAAAAAAACTATATTAAAAATCTAAAAAGAGCTTATAGGAATCATTAAAATCATTATAAGAGTACGACAATGCCACAGAGGTTACAAGTTATATGCGTTCATAATTCGCGCGTAAAACAAAAAAGAGAAAACATATTATTATTAATGTCGTGAGACACGCAATTAGTTTTTTCATCAAAAATGTTTTCATTGCCCATTTTATTAATCTAATGTTATATTCTGTTTCACTTTTAAGAGAATACACGGAAATGTTGTTTTTCTAAATAGCCGTACTTATATGTAGTAAAAATAATACCTACTTAGTACTTGTATATAAAGTCTCAGGGAGACAGGGGTCTAGTATAATACACACTTTCTATTATGAATGACCGATTATTTCGGAGTGCGATGAAGAGTAGTAAAAAATATAATAGGAAACCGCAAGTGCACGTATAATACAAAAAGAAGAAAAATCGTTTCGAAACGTATTATTCCGTCTAATAACCGTTCAAGTTTTCGTGACAATAATTGTTAACTGTTGTCTCGGAACTATCTCGAGTATAACGTTGTTACCGTCCGCGGAATACGAAATAATATATATTCCTTAAAAGTATTTATTTCGTATAATATTTTAGTAATATTGTGAATTTTAACGTACACACATACACTTACATAATTATAAACGGTTTGTACGAACGAAACGCGATGTATAATACAAAATAAAAGTTAAGACCGATATACTGCTGAGGGGTGTGCCACTGTTTTAGGTGGGAAGTTAAACTATTCCTAAAGAAAAACGATTCGGAGCAGAGTATAATGTTAATAGACATATTATTCCCTTGTTGCGAAGGTAACTCGGAAATCGACAGAAAATTGTATGAACAAATTGTCAGTTTTTCCCGTTTTTAATAAAAAAAAACACTACTCGGAAAATCAAAAAAACCGATCTTCTCAATACACTGAAAAATTCTACCAACAAAATTCCGGTAAAGTTTTCGATTGGATCTCTGGTTATTCCTGGTAGAAAAGTTATTTACAAAAAAAAAAAAAAGTACACGCAGTTCTCGCTTCGTCCAAAATCGAATATAACTGTGAAACCGAAATGTATGATGCAAGTACTATTGTAAGTAATAATAAGTGGCCGTTTCCCGTCGAACAAATAAAGGTCGTCTGTGGCCAGGCATGGTATAAATAACGAAACTTACCTTTAAAATAACGCCGCGAAAACGTACTCGGGATGATCGAAGACGATATTATATAGAGGCGGGAGCGATAAGAGGGACCGGTAGAGCGAGGCAATTGACGCGCACCAAACGACAGGCGGTTGATTTATTATTGTTGTTGTTGTTGTTGTTATGCCGCGGAAGTTTGTGGATTTGAATTTTTGGCGGACAAAATATTACGATTTTTACGAACGAACGTACCGGACAGTATTACAATATTCAATTCAATTGTATTGGAAATATATTTCCGAAAACTGGATCGTCTCTGTGGCCTGGAACACGGGAGACTGCGGGCGCACGTAGCCGGAGCGGCAACAGTCGCGGGCCGCGACGACGAAACGAAGACGAGATAAAAAAAAAAAAAAAACAACGGTGACCCCGGACGCGCTACGCGACGGTGGCGGCGGTGTATATCGAGTCCGAAATCCGACGAGATGAATACGCGAGAGAGGAATAAACAATGTAAATTTACTATTATTATTCTTGTTATTATAAATCCTTAATAAAATAAACGGCTCGTAGCGAAACGATCGATTCAAACTGATGCGTCGGGTACGACTATCGAATCGCGTTTTCCGCGTGTACACAATACTCGCGACGGCCGCGCTGCTCCCTCTCATATACATATAATTATTTTTATCATTATACTCTGTCACTCCCTCTCGCCGTCGCGCTTATTCTCACGTCTCGCTCACTCTCTCTCTCTCTCTCTCTCTAACTCTCTCTCTATCCTTCTCACTCTCTCTCTCTCTTTCTCTGTCTTCCCACTCCGGAATACGTATCGCTAAGTCTCGCTCTGCGACTCTGTCATTGTCGCGATGACCGGGCGAATTAACCGCCGAACGACGTCGCCACCCATACGCCGGCCCCTCGGCGGT